CGAGTTGGTAATAATTAAGTTACTAGCAACCACCGCTGTCTCTTACTTCATTACTCAAGAAAATGTTTCGACTTTAAAGGGCAGCTGCAATCAATTTCGCTTAATACAAACCGTGGGAACGTAACGAGTGCACTTCATAGTCGTTTCTGAACCAGCGAAGTGCAGTTCCTACCAAAGGAGCCTGCGTTGCTCGGAAAATTGCTCCATCTCTTGGTCCAGCTCGGGGCTCATAAAAAACTTCCAGCATTGTAAGCGGAAGTATAGGACAAGGATGGCGTAATCCGAAACGACTTTGGTCTTGCTACTGATGGTTCGAGTCCTGTGACAAGCATTCCAACCAGTTTGTGTTCACTCTTAGATACAAGCTGGTTACACCTATGCATACTGCTCGTTGTTTCCATTACATGGTTCATCTTTCCATTCCCAGTAGTCTGTACTTCACCATAGTCGTCTTTTCCTCGACTGTTATTGGGTTGATTACTGTCCCAATTCCTGTACTCCATCTCATCATTATCAGCACGGCACGTCAAGTTACCTGTATAGAACACACGAATAAATAAATGGAGGCTAGATATCAATTAATGATATGATATAAAAACAAGTGCATGGTTTTATCTTATATTGTAAATTTGAATACCACTAACAAATTCCGAATTTGTAATTTAAACAAACTTTCTTCCTGAAGATCATTGCAATTAATCCAAAATCTGGGCGGCATGAGACGTAGTAGGATATCAGTTTCCTCTTCAGACTTTGGCTCGACTAAGACACCTTCCATCTCAACACATTCATCTTAAGTTTAGCTTTGAACCATGTCAGTTCCTCCATGACGGCTTTTGTAGCATTTGCCACCCAAGTGGATCCCAGGAGGAGGACACGCCCCTCTTCGACCAACGACAGCCTTACACTAGTGCATCAAGCCAACAGATGGAGGCCTACCAAGGCAAAGAGGACCTGTTTTGACAACATCACGTTTCACTTCCAACTCGATTGACATCTGGTGAAGTGGTCCGAACATATGGAACGCCAACTGTACCAAAATATGATATTACTCTGTGAACCGAGTTTGATCGTATCCTCAATCTATTATGTGATGTTGTCAAACTATTATGTGGTGTTGTCAATCCATGATGTGAAGTTCTCAATCCATTAAGTTGGTGTCTTTCTCCGGAAGGGAGACTGACGAAGAATCCGGAATCTGGCATATGTTATATGCGGTGAGGACGCCGATAAAGTCGGTGTCATCTTCAATCAAAGACACGGCCACTTTGCTTCGAATGAAGTGAGGCCGTGCTATGGTCAAGAGCCTAGGATGCATTCCCGGTTGAGGTCAACGGGAACAACAGAATTACGGACAGAAAGCCGGAGCCGCGGATAGGCTAAGGGGCTAGGTGGCTTGAAGACCTGGAGGCGTAAAAACCCCGTTAAGCTCCGCGGGACCCGAAAGGGGATTAGAGGGCGTCGGGGTGTCATGGCTCGAGGGCGTACCAGGAGGGGCCAGCCCGGCCAGGTGACTTCGGTATATGGGCGAGAAGGAGTACGCACGGGGGGAGGGGGCCGCCGGAAAAGTGGTGTTCTAGGCCGATATCGAACGGTGGGTGGTACTCGGCGGTGTCGCCGGGGAACGCTGCGTGGATTCCTCTGGGCCATGTCGGGCGAAAGGCGTGCCGTACCTCACGATGACAGTATATAAGAGGGGGCCCCGGAGACATCTAATGGGGTACTCTCTGGGAGTCCCAGCTGGCTCGCCAGGCCAGCAATGGACCAAGGAGACAGGGTCCTTGCCAGATCCTAGCAGTGCCCCTGCTCGGGTATTCCGCAGTCGACCACGGAGCTTCCCTGTCAGCTTCGTGGGCCAAACGAACCAGGGGCCTGGGCCAGATCCTAGCTGGAACCCCCTAGACGACGACAAGGCTTTTTCCTCGGCCTGGTAGCCAGAGAAGACAGGGGAGTATGACAGATCCTGACAGCAACCACCTGAAATCAACCCAGGGGTCTGCTAAAGCCTATAATTTATCCGTAGGGTAGACACAGCGTAGTTAGCCTCGTAGTACCAACGGTAAACACCTGCAGGATGCACATACAAGAAAACTGAAGAATGAACACAAAAATATGCACGAAAAGAACACTCTTACCAATAAATGGATAAATCCAGGTTATGCTTTATTTACAAAGGAAGGAAAGGTGATCAGATCGACGCAGAACCGTGTAGCGAAAACGGAAGCTGGATAAATCGAAGATGCCTCGAAGGACACGTCCATTACCTTTACAACGCTGAGAAAAGAAGGACGATGAGGCAGCGCTCCATTGTGGGAGGTCAGGATGCACCGTGTGTGATCTAATCTTTTCAAAGAATGAATACTACGCGCTTGGGAAATTTGCATATTTAGTGACCGTTTGGGTGGGTAGAGCGCCGTAGACTTCATAGGTTATTGATAATGCCAAGTACTGGGTACACATAGGATAACACACACACTGTGCTACTTACCTTTATGTGCTGGGCATGTACTGGTATGCATGGGTATGTCAACTCAGGTGCTCGGTGTATTTTTACTTTTAGTGACGCCTGCGTGTGCTTTGGCTCCTTTCAAGGTTCGTTCTTAGGTATTCTTTGTGTAGTAAATGTACATGTATAAACGTAAAAAGTCTCCGAAGGCACGCGGCTACTGCTGAATCTTGTTTAAGTTCTTGGAGGATCTACCGGCATGCTCGTTCGTGTGGAATTTTGCCTACAAAGCTTTTGGCTGGGTACCTGTGGAATGTTCCGTGTTTGTGACGGTCCTCAAAGCTATGTAAAGTCATTCTAGTTAAGTCTTATGCGTGCGTTTTCTCTCTCTCTTTCAATGAAAAGAAAGTGTTCATGGACACTTACATCCGTGGCATTAACAGAAAAAAAAGCCTTTTCTTCATATAGTTGAGCTCTGACGGCAAATGACACCGCGTTCGATTTGGATGCTTCCACATTTATTTGAACTGATGCAATCAGAAAAAACACGTTTTCCTTTGAGGTGCTGCTCTTAAAACATTCAATCAGTTTGGTCACCGTTTTTCTTTCTTGTGGAGGACTGTAGCAAGATGTCTTCGTCAGAGATTCACAACTGGCCGATATTACTGGCCAGCTTCACGGTGAACTGTCTGACCAAGGGCATGGCCACCTCTCTGGGCGTGTTCTACATCGAATGGTTCAGGGAGTTCCCGGACAGCTCGGCGCAGGTTGGCGGACTCTCCATCTCGGTGATGGTCATGCTCCTGTGTACTTGTAAGTTCCACCAAACTCTTTGGCATTTTATGTAGACTAAAATGGGTTGAAAAACGATACTTCCTCTAAGGAAAGCGCAGTTACTTGTGAAGTTGGGCAAAGGCCAATTCATCATTTCGCAAGAAAGCATACATGAAACACGATTTTGTGATGCCTATTCAAGTGTGAGGCGGCTCAGCTCACTGATGTGAGTGACCACCTCAGGCTCGTCTGTTGAATTTCACACCTCACTCTTAAGATAGACAAAGATGGAAGGAAACGGCAAAATAACTTACCTGTAGATATTTTGAAATAGATCAGTTTTAAATTGTTCAGAATGATCAAGAAGGCAAGGTACACAAAATACAAGTTGGATTTATTTTTTAGGGGAAATTTGGAGTAAATGTACTGGTAGACTACACACAGTTGGATTTATTACAGGCCTCTTTTGAAAACACTCAAGTTTTTTTAGGCAAGTGTTTTGGCCAAATTTGTTTGACCACCCCTACATACCGGATACATGTCGAGTCACCACCTCTGGGGAAACCCAGAAATTTGCACTGCAAATTGCCAAAAAGTGAACACGAGCCAAATTCGCTAGAAACATTTCATGACATCGAATTCAATTTGCGCTCGCATCCACCGAAAGTGCAAACCTGCCTTTACCCATAAAGTTGAACTTAAGGGGAATTGGCTACAAACATTTCATGACGTCATATTCAACTCGCTTTCGCATCTATCCGAAGTGAAAATCGGCCTTTTACCCAAAGATCATATAGCGCTGCGAAAGCTGCTGCACGCAGCATGTAGCTACCGGTTCAGTGTACACAGCTAGCTGCTTCCGTGAGCATCTTCGTTATTTCCAGCTGTTGCCTACGTGACTCAGACACAGCCGCAGAGAGAGAATGTTGAAGGATCGCCGTGGAATTGAGAAACCACTTGTGTATACAGTAGGACATTACCGGTATGTACCGGTAATTCCAACAAAGAGTACTCACTAAAGACACTGGGACATGTGGCCTGCTCACTTACGGCGCTCTGTGAGTGCCATCCGACATGTTCAGATACTGAGATAATTTATCTTCGTAAGTCGAATTATAAAGCGTATCAATTTTAGTCGATTTAACGAGATAAATTAAGTTGACTTCCTAGGTATCGTAAGTTGACATCGCGAGATATTTTATGACATCAAGCCTACCTCCAGAGTTCCCTATATCGACTTGGCGAGATAATTTATGTTATTAAGTCGACTTCTTAATTCAAGTAGGTCGACTTGGCGAGATAATTTATGTCATCAAGTCTACTTCCAGAACTCGGTATGTCGTCTCAGAGAGATAATTTTGTTGTCAAGTCTACTTCCAGATTTTGCTTGTGTAAAGTTGGCGAGATAAGTTAACTACTCAAGTCGAATTCCTAATTCTAGTAAGTCGACTTGGCGATACAATTCATTTCATCAAGTCTGCTTTCAGAATTCACTATGTCGACTCGTCGAAAGTAATTTTGCAGTCAAGTCGATTTCCAAATTCTAGCAAGTCGACTTGGTGAGAAAATACGCTGCAGGTCACGTTCACTTGTAAGTAGTCATTTCATGCCTGCATGTTGTACACTTGATGACATGGATTATCTCGCCAAGTTGACTTACTAGAATTATGAAGTCACCTTGCAACATAATTTATATCGCCAAGTCCACACAGTGAATTTTAGAAGCAGATTTGATGACATAAATTATTATAGAATTGGGACGTCGACTCACTGACATAGATTTTCTTTTCAAGTCGACCTACCAGAAATAGGAAGTTGGATTGACTACATAAATTTTCTTGCCAAGTCGTCTTCCCACAATTGTAAAGTCGACTTGACAACATAAATTATCTCGCCGAGTTGACATCGCGAATTCCAAAGGCAGTCTTGATGACATAAGTTATCTTGCCAAGTCATCTCACTAAATAAGAGAGTCGACTTAACCACATAAATAATCTCGCCAAGTCTACATAGGGAATTCTGAAAGTAGACTTGATGTCATGAAATATCTCCCAAGTCGACCTACTATCATTTGGAAGTCGACTTGACTACATCATCTATCTCGTTAAATCGACTAAATACACTTTGTAAGTCGACTTAAAAAGAAAAATTATCTCGGTATCTGGAAAAGTCGGATGACACTTCCAGAGCTCCGTAGCTCCCTCCTTTTCAGAATGTTACGGTTTTTTTTTTTTTTTGAAGGGGCTCTTTTCTTGTACGATAAGTCTACATGTACCGTAAATCACTGCACTCTGTAGAGTGACTTGCTCGCTGTACCATGTGTTGGACTGCGCATGATTTTGTCGTGCTTGATTTTGTCAGGCTTGGTACTGCATATAACATTGCAAGTCACCTGTTTACTGTAGAGACCTATCAGTACCAAATGACTCAAATTTGAACACTGTTGACCAATTGGAGTAAACAGATTCCACCCAGTCCCCTGCCAGTATTAAAGTCCAGTGATCTCCTTTTAGATAGTTCTGTCTGTTGACCTTTGCTAAGTTCAGACCTGTTTCTGATACAAAAGCACAGGGGGTTAGGGTTAAGCCCTCGTTCTCTTGTTTCCAGTGCTTGCCGTAATCCTTCTGGTGACTTATATGTGACAGGCAGTTCATGCCCAATTTTCATCTTCTGCCTTCCAGCGCCTTTGGCCGGTGCCCTGGCCCAGTGCTATGGCGTGCGCCCAGTGGTGGCAGCTGGGGCCTGCCTGTCGTCTGCTGGACTTCTCCTCGCGTCGTTCGCCCGCGATATCTCCGTCTTGTTTACTACCATTCCCTTCATGGCGGGTGAGTATGACGAGACCCAATCACAAGAAAGTGCCCCACTCGACGATGAGGTCGCACTTCAACACCACAGGTTAATGGATTTTGTATGGGTGGTCTTATAAACTTCTGCAAATGAATGTCTGCTGCTTTTCATTGATTATCGAACTAGTACATACAAATTTTGAAAGTATGCTTCTTGATATGTGTTATCCCTTGAACTTGTCTAGTTCCTGAACCTTCCTTGACTTTAACACCAAGGTGCAGGAACTTTATCCTCAAAGGGGCAAGAAAATTTCTCTTGTCCCTGAAGACATTACTTTCTGTACCAAATATTCTGGCTGCCAATAATTCCTACTTTGCGGCTCTTGGACATTGAATCATGGTTCCATCAAAGCACAGACATGTATATCCAGTTGCTCTCAGCTGTCTGCCATTTGTCCCTTTTCCAGGTATCGGCTTTGGGATGTCCCACATGGGGGTCCTCTTCATCATCAGTGAGCTCTTCCACGAGCACTACGCCACGGCCAACGGCATCACCTTGACAGGCACTAGCGTGGGCACCATAGTCATGCCCATCCTGAATAGCTTCCTGATAGAGCAGTACGGCTGGCGCGGCGCCCTCGTTGTCCTGAGCGCCGTGGAGGCCAACCTGTTGGTGTGCGCTGGACTGCTGAGGGCTCCGGCAGGCGAAAGAGCCCATTCAAAATCGCAGAGCGGCGAACAGTGCGACCGAGGAAACAATGGAAGTTTGACGCATCGGGAGACGGAGGGGGTATTTAGATATAAACAGCTTTTAGAGAGCGCTGATGAGTCTGAAGATGATGCCATTGGTCAAACCAACAAATTCTCTGTCAGCTCCTCACAGGATCACAGTAAACAGGAGAGATCGACTACGATGGTCACAAGGTTCTTGTTCCTTTCAGGCCTATCCCTCCTCTGGACCAACCGGGTCTACGTGAGCTTCCTGCTAGCCGCCGTCACCAACACTTCGATCATGGGTGTCACCCTAGCGTACATCGTCGCCCGGGCTGAGTCGGTAGGTGTGCCCACCCTCCAGGCTACCTCCCTGATCTCGGCCATCGGGATCGCCAACATCGCCAGCCGGATGACCCACGGCTGGCTGGTGGACACTGGCCAGGTGCATCCCGCGTACGTGTACGGCGCCGCCGTCGCGCTGTCCGCCGTGGCTGGGCCCATCATTGCCTCGGTTGAGAGCTACCCGTGGTTCATGGTCTGTGCTGTGCTGGTCGGCCTGTCAGCAGGAGCATTTATCCCCATGCAGATCACAATAACTCGGCAGATTGTCGGGCAAGAGAGATTCCCTGGAGGATCGGGAGTCAGCCTGGTTTTTGCTGGTATCGGTGACTTCTCGTCGGCACTTATGGCTGGTAAGAAACTCTCTACTACACCAATTCTCATTAACATTCTTATAAATATGCAATTTTCCAGCACTCAATAACTTCATACATGTGTTTAATGACTCTAACAAATATGCAACAGTGATAATGCCTACGAGTTCTATTGGATTTACTCATCTCTCCACACACAGAAACACCCTCTTCTTTGTACCAGTATATTCTATGGGATCCTGTGGTATTAAGCAGAAGATTCCTATGCCCGATTATTTTGAAACTTGGCATGCACGTGCAGACACTCATTATCAGTACAACTCTTAAATTTCATCTCAATTCCACGTATGGTTTTGTTGTAATTAGAAGTTCAAGGTCGCACATACAGCATGTCAACTTTCTCCTTACCTGTCAATATTCTAGATTTAAAAGGGAGGGTCGTGGAGCCACACATTATCTTGATATGCCAGGCATCCCTGACTTGTGTAATGCATGCCTGGTTTCTGACCCCCTCCCCATGTAGGCCACTTGCATGATGTCACCAACAGCTACAGCGGAGGTTTCATCATGATGGGCATAGTATCCGGAATGAGCACAGCCCTGACTTTCTTCCTGCATCTGACTTGGACCAGACTTATCCCTGATGACCGCTGGCCAAGAATTTCGCCCGCTGCCTAACGAGGAAATGCCGGCTGATTGATCGGTCATCCTTGGATTGACTACCTCAAAAGACTTTGCATAAACTCAGTGACTGTTTTGGAGGCTCCGTATTTCTTTGAATGTGTGGGTTTTCAGTAAAATGCATTCAAACAATGATAGAGTTGTCGGTCTTAACGTTTGGACATAATAAATTTCTGAGCCGGCTCTCAAATTCAATGGACAGATGTATGTCACTATAACCTGCTAGGTTTTAAGCTTCCAAAACAGCTTAAACCTAACACCATAGAGTCAGCCAAAGACAAGGGCCCAATTTCACGCAGAACAATAATTGCACAATACTATAGCCGAAACTTTAGCCTACCATGAGCACTATTTCATGGGGATGCTTCGCATGGCTGCACCTACGGTTGCACCCACATAGAGATTTTCGCTGTTTTGTTACAACATTAAGCAAATTTTTCCTCCGAGGTAAGCATACCTTTTGCCGTGCTTATTGCTTACGGTCTCCATGAAATATGCACAGATTCTCTTGGCAAAAAAGAATGTGCTTAGCAGTGCCGTGAAATAGAGGCTTTGCCATCTTGCAGGGCAGTTCTTTTGTCCCACGGAAATACCTCCTTTGTGCATGGCCTGAATAACAGAAGCACTGGGCCTAATGTCATGGTGCGCTTAGCAGTTAACAGAAAAGGCATGCTTTCCATAGCAGAAAAATTTGCTGAAAAATTTGCTTAGCAGAAAACCTTAAGCGCTATTTCAAGGCAGTGCTTCACCTGGTTGTGCTCACAGTTCTGAGAACGCAGAGATGTTCAGTTTTTTGTCACTGGCAAATATTGCCTCCAAGGTAAGCGTGCCTTGTGCCATGCTTACTGCTTACAGTCTCCATGAAATATGCAGAGCCTCTGTTAGCGTAAAAATGCATGCTTAGCATGGCCGTGAAAATGGGCCTTGGCCTGAAAGATGGCTGCCGTGGACACCCTCTATTGGGCCCAGGTCCTTACCCTCATGCATCATGGGGCCAGCCCTTTCTCCATCTCCTGAATGGCCTCCGACTGGGCCTCCACCTGGTCATTGAGGACACTGATCTGCAGCAGGAGGGACTCCTTGTCGCCCTCCAGGCGCTGGACCTGGTCCGAGGACGCCAAGGGTAGTCCGTTCACCTGCAACCAAACAACAGCGCACAGGTCAATTAGAGACCCTTCTCTGTTCTCGGAATATGCTGATACACACTGGCATGCCTTGTCGCTCTCCAGATGCCAAATCTGGTCTGAGGGTATCGGGGGGGGGCCCCATTCACCTGTTCTCGGAAACAAACACCTGGGTCAGTTAAAGCATGCCCTATAACACTTAAGACGCTGATCTGCTCTTTAAAGTTTTCCATGTCACTCTCCTGCAACTGATTGGATCTAAAGCAGTCTCAAAAAATAAATTAGGAATTTTCAATGTTTATTTTTTGGGGGTCACACATGTAATTAGAAACCTTTTTTTATATTTTTGTTATATACCAGAGGCACTGGAGTGAGAGGCCTTCAGGTCACAGATGTTAACTCAACTTTTTAAAACTCCTAGTATGTGCCACTGGTTTTTGTTTGTTTGTTTGTTTTTGTTTTTTTGGTTTTTTTTTTAAATTTATGCTGCTGGTTTGTTGTCTGTTTTTACGACATGTCAAATAAATAAAAAAATACTGATAACGAGTAAACACTCATTGGTTATAAACCACAGAGCTGACCATTGGCACATTAAACAAACATTCTAAACATAATAATCTGAATGTTGAAATTAAGGATGATATAAATTGGAGAATGTGACCCGGTTAAACTACCGGTATCTTGGTGTATGGTCCAATCAGTATCTAAAATCTCGACAACTTGGAGTATTGAAATGTTTGGGTTGGTAGGTTAACCATTACCAGTATACACGTAATAAATTGTATAAGCCTAAACCTCTAATTGGCTGCTGCTGCTGCATTTTGGACTTAGGGTGCTTATAAATACGTTATTAACAAACTTCAGATTTTACAAAACCAAGCAGTAAATTTAACAACAGGCTAATTACAATCTGCAGGGTGGGAGTGGCCACTTGAAATTAAAGCTGAAAACTGCTAGCCAAAAGCTGAAATATAAAAAGTTCCCATAATTTTGTGCAGACCAGGTGTACAAAAAGCTGAATTTCAGGGTCAACATCTTCTAAACAAAAAACTTGAAAACTGGAATTGGCTAAAAAGCTGAATTCTCACACCTCTGAACCTCTAATGTAGCATTTTTGTTTAATTTTTTTAATTTCAATTTAATTTTTTTTAACTTGATTTAAAGTCATATTCATTGTTTATATGCCCATATATCTGGTGTTATGATATCTCCCTAATTAAATGCAGCCATTTATGATGTACACGTATGTCTTGTTAATCATTGTAAATTTGTACTGTCACTCCAAGCTGTGATGTGCGCTGATCAGAGTTTATCCTCATTAACCCTAACCACCGGTACCCAAAACCTGCCATACTTCAACAGCATGTTTTGGGAGGTGTTGGCAGGTTTGGTACCGTACCTGTGAACTTGTTGAATTTTGTGAGACTGGGGACGAAAGGCCCAGGGAGATGGTGTTGGATTCTGTGTGAGTTGGGACACACAGGGTTCATTGTGTGCAGTGTCTGACTTGCTTCACCAATTGTTGGACTATGCTTGATTTTGTCAGGTTTGGTACTGTTCAATGCAAGTCATCCTATACTGCATAGACCCATCCATACCATATCACTCAAACTGCAACGGGCTCATTCTGTTGGAGTTTATCAGGTTTGGTACAGTGACCCGCATGGACGGTACAAGTACGTAGACAAGTACATGTACCTCTTGGATTTTGTGAGGCTCAGTATGCTTTCTAGTGCAAGAGCCTAGGGGGTTAGGGTTAAAGATGACGTAAAGAAACAAAAATAAACATAAAAATACGGTAGAACTGTTTGATTGGACAGTGTGATCAAAAACATACCGGTACCAGACTGGCTCTGCATTTCTTGTACTTCTCTAATTGGCCCGGGGAGACGGAGTCCTTGACCAGCGAGAACTTCTTCCTCCGTCTGACCTTAAGTTTGACCGGTTTGGACGACATCTGGCCCATCATTAAAAAATTAGGAGAAACAAAATTTCCTTGCCACCAGTCCGATTTTGGCTGGTGGAACAATCGGCGACCAGAAGCTTAGAGTTTGAATCTTATCAGTAGAATATGCCTGAGGATGACTGAGGCTACGCTAACCAGGGTTATAAAGTTTACATCCAACCTAAGTCTAAAAAAAAGTGCCGGCAAAATCTGTGCGGCATAAAACGTAGTAGGATATCAGTTCCTCTTCAGACTGTGGCACGACCAAGACACCTTCCATCTGAACACATTCATCTTTAGCTTTGAACAATGTCAGTTCCTCCATGACGTCTTTGTAGCATTTGCCACCGCATCCCAGGAGGAGGACACGCCCCTCTCCGACCGATGACAGCCTTACACTAGTGCATCAAGCCAACAGATGGAGGCCTACCAAGGCAAAGATGACCTGTTTCGAAAATATCTATGTCGCATATCTATATCGGTGCTGGTATAAGTTAAAACAACAAATGTCATTAAACAGAAATGAAAATACAAACAATCAATATTTTGAAATATAAACTGTGTAGAATGCCGGTTTAATAAGACGTACACTAACGGTTTGAGTCAAAGGTCGCTTCTCTTTGTAAATGCATATGTTGTGCATTTGGGGATTAGGGATTGAGTGAATAGAAGATCAATTAACTATTGGTCACCGAGGACGCCAGTATGTTCTAGTAAACACCGCAAAGAAGGTGTTCCATTCTGATTATCTCTAACCAACTTGAATCAGACAAGGATAATATTACACAAATTGTGCAGTTTTATAGAACTTATCCATTCAACTTCCTACTCATAGCCAGACCTTGTCAAATGATTGGTTTTAAACGTGTAGCTGCAATGAATATTTCTTAGAAACAGTCTAGCAAAATTCAAAAAAATGGAAGACTTTTTTGTGTACAAACCAATGTAACACTGATACCGTACTTTGTCCCTGGAATGACATCACAATAGGCCTACACAATAAATCACAATACTCATTAGCATAAAAACAAAAAAGTGGTAAAAATAGCTTTTAAAATAGTGAAACAAAAGTAAAAAACTAAGAAATAATCGTGCTTTTTTAACTTTTGTATTAAGCGAAATTGAGACAGCGCTGGTTGCTAGTAACTTGATTATTACCAACTCTTTCAAAGTCTGATATTCCTGCTCCATGAAGCCCATTGTTCCTCACCTGTTCAGTTATAAGTGGTCGATACTATTCCTAACCTCGTCGATGATGCAGAAGGGGGCAGGGTCATCCCACGATATGAGTTATGCCAACATTGTAGTCTGAGGTCTGCTCCCAACACTTCATTACTAGACATCACTGAGTTGAGTTGGAAGAAAAACACGATGTTGTCAAAACAGGTTATCTTTGGTTTAATAAGCCTCCATCTGCTGTCGAGATGCACTGGTGGTAAGGACATATGTAAGGCTGCCATCAGTCAAAGAGGGGCGTGTCCTCGTACTTGGTCCAAGTGGGGTGGCAAATGTTACAAGGCCATGACAAAGGACCTGACATGGTTTGAAGCCAAAGATGAGTGCGTCAAGATGGAAAGTGCCTTGGTTGTGCCACAGTCTGACGAGGAAACCGATTTCATCTTGGGCTTAACGTCACACGACTTTTGGATCAATTGCGATGATCTTCTAAAAGAAGGTTTGTTAGATTAAAAGCTTGGACTTACTTGTCGTTTTGAAATTCAAAATAGAAAGATTCAATAAGGCAGCCTTTTTATAACTTATATTTATTTGTCGTCTCCCTCAACGTTTGTTTCTATAATTTCTGCGTTTTCAACAGGTGCCTGGAAGTGTCGTGTTGGTAATGACGAGGTAAAGTACAGGAATTGGAGAGAGGACCAACCTAGCAACAACGGAGGAAACGAGCACTGTGCTGAGATTTGCTCCACCGGAGAATGGAACGATGATCGATGTGATGTAAAACATCGGGCAATATGCATAACTACAACCAGCCTATACCACAGCTGCACTTCGAACCCCAGTGAATGAACACAAACTGGTGAGAATTAACGTGTGCATACCTTACGACCCGAGCCCTTGTCACAGGAATCGAACGATCAATATTAACAAGATCTACATCACATCACCCCCCCCCCGTTTCCTGAAAGCTAGATCCGCCCCTGGATATTCTTTGCAAATGTTCAAGTAAAGTGTTGATTGACCGAATCTCGAAATGATTTCAATTATGTTCATTTTGTCTGTTAGTTTGTATAAGAATGTTTCAACAGAATTGTCTTGCTTGTTTCAAAAATAAGTTTAAGAATGCAATGTAGGGGGCCTAGGTATAATAAGCGCAATGTCAATTGTCAACACCACTTTTAAGGAAGGGAGAGCACTTAACATTTGCAAACTCTGTCTAGACACTGCTTTTGAGCTGACAATTTGAATCAGTTCGACGACTTTACAAAGCTCTTTTTTGTAACCAGGTTAAAAAGTTTATCATGTTACGTCTTCATAAGTCTATACGGAAACGTATTACTGCCAACGTAAAAAAAAAACTTACTGTTAGTTGTAGCCAAGCCTTTGTGACGCAGCATCATTCTCGTGCAACCCGAGAAGGACGTATTTAGACCTTTTACCTATAATGTACGAAATGTATTTAAACCATGGAAGTGGTTATCATGCTTTAACGTCACAATCTTCTGTTGTTAACTGAACTGCACATTAACCCACACAGGGGCGGATGCAGGAAATTTTTCTAAATGACGTCAGGCTGGAGATCTTTTCTCTCTGTTTTGTCTCTTTTTTTGCGGACAAGCGGAAATGTATAATATACATTATACATTGTTTACAATGGTATTGGTACGCTTACTTTACTTACTTTTTTCTGATAGATAATTTTCTCACTATTTACCTTTTTTGTCTCAGAGCAGGGGAGTTCGACCCCCCGACCGACCCCACCCCACCCCCTGGATCCGCGCCTGCCATACTCTCAGATCATGAAATGTATTTGATGGGTTCATATTTTAAGAACTTCAGCGTCTATGATGGGTGTTATTAGATACATATTAAAAAAAGTAATGTGACGAATGTGTTTATGTTTTCAGACCTCTAATTTTCAAAGACCTCAAGTCGATGTAATTGTAGAGGAATTCAAAGTCATTGCAATAGTTTGGCGGGTTTCTCTTACCCCTTCCCTCAAACTGCAAACTATCCTTAGAATATTTTTCTATCGTTAATAATGAGGGTACAGAAGAGTTTATGGCTAAGAGGCGTCCGAGAAATGAAAGCTGTAAAGAGAATGGGAAACGAAGATAAATGCTTTGACCTACTCTCCGAAGCAAATTTATAAGAAGTTAGGGAGGTAGGAAGCGCCTGAAACTTCCAAGTAACACTACAGACTGGTGACTTGATAACATAACAACCAATTTGTTACAACAAGGCCTTTCGGTCGGAATGTCATTGATTTTTCTCATGCAACCCACGCAACTCACCTTCACTTTTAGAGAAGGAGGTTTTGGTGGGTAATTTTGATTAATTGTTCCTGAAGCGCCCGCGCGAAATTCGACTCGAACAAGGGGGTCCTTAACTGCGTAGCTGAAGTGTTCGGTTTCCTAGGCAACAATATCGCGCCATTTCTCAAGATTATAGTATGTAAAGAGAATACCGTCCCCTCCGCTTTTTAATTATTCCTAGTCGATATACTTCTGAAGACAGACAATGGTGTTTAATGACTCACAGAACTCTTGACAATACGGGAGTCAGAGCTCTGCTAGCAAAACATCAGTCGCAAAAGCGAAAACTTGATGAGACCAAAATGGGTCATCATTGACTTGACAAGCGTCGATCTGATGACTGGTTGCACCAGTGGTAAGGAGACGCGTGAGATGCCATTGGTTGTAAAGGGGCGTGTCCTCCTCCTTGGATCCAGTGGAGATGCATATTCTACAAAATATTATGAAGGACCTGTCATCGTTTGAAAACAACCCACACGCTTATTCAGTGTATCTATGGTGTATTATGAATTAACCGTTTCAGTGTCCACCGTGTAAAAACGTTAAAAACTGATTTAAATAAAACTACTGAATTAATTGTTAGCCAGAACTTTGGTTGAATTATACACCTGCGGAACAGAGAAGTCACTATCACTTTGGACCTAATCCTCGTAGGGACAGTGATCAAATTAAATTTGGAGAATCGGGACTGTTAGGGCTCAGAATCCAAATGATTATCTTGTGATAGCAGATAGTAAGAGGAGGTTGATAATACAAACTTTACACAAAACCTAACAAATTGCGCCTTTTTAAAGCCGATTGAAGAACTTTTATACGGTGTTGCGTCTACGAAGCTCTGTGCGGACACGTATTGCTGCCAACGTAAAACAGAAATACTTTCAAGTCGTCCAAACGACGCGACGGAAGCAATGCGCTTCTGAATCCCAACTCTGAGAATTAGAAATGCCTCAAAATCACACATGTACCTACGGAAGCCGCTATAAAGCCCTAGTGGTTGCACCCATTCCCCGAAGGTACGTGAAATACGGTTTTGCTCGGGCTGATGGCTTTGCACTGTGACTGACTACATTGTGACCTGTGATCGCGAGATTATCATTTGCTGTATAGCCAAGTGTTATTTTAAATTTTTTGGCCTGCCAATGGCAATGCTTTAGGACGGGCAGCCATAAAAACATGGCCTAGGTATAGTCACAGTGCGGTAATTTATCTCCTAAGTAGCACTGATCTTGTTTCTTTGGGCGATATATTTCAAATCATTGGTTATCTTGATCAATTGTGGATGAGCGAATAAAGTGTAGTGGGAATATTTTCGGCAATGAGGAAGAAAAAGAAAAATTATCGAATTAATAACCGCCGCTTGTGTAACGCATTGAGGGAGCTCGCGCGCCTGGCAGAAATGTACCCACAATGCTCTGCGCGTCGTTAGCTGTGACCCAGTGTTACGTATTTCCTTCACTAAAATCTGCGCAAGGCCATTAACCCCAAGCAAAAATACCGTCAGCCTCTGACGCAGCCTCGTTCTCACGCAGTCTAGCTACTTGTACGCAATACGCTTATTTGGAGACAAGTAAAATACACCACGTGTTCACCAAATTATGTTCTCATTATGTTACCAAGAATAGCCCCGGCATTTTGTGAGGCTTGCAGAGAGTCACTCAAGGTTGGATGCACTTCATCATCAAAATGACAAACAACCAGAATTTTCCATCAACAACACCATTCTCTCTAACAAGTCGATTATGAGGAATTCCTAGTCCGGAAATAATCAGTATTTTCGTTCCTTTTGATCGATATTGCACTTTTTTACACTGTCGAAGACACAAGAGGAGCTTCAGCGTGTCCGCTTTTACTCTTTTAATTTAAAAAAAATGTATAGGAGTGAGAATTTTGCTTCCACCGTGCGGGTGAGAAGTGAGAAGGTCTACAGGCCAGCTTTGGATTGACGACTTAATTAGGCACTGCCGGTAGACACATTACGACATCATTAACGCAATTTTAATTTTTTTTATCCTCGGACAATGACTGTGATGCATTCATAGAGAAATATTGCCCCGATCAAGACAGGTTTGTTAAACTGTCATCAACTATCTGTCTAAGTCTAAGACTTTTACTGCGTGAATTATTAGACAATTAAGGTTTCCAGGAACCTAGTTAATAAGTAATTATGCCAGCATCCGTTTTTATTATTATTTTTAAATCTTTAATGGCTGGTGTTGCGATAAAATCATCATCATCGTCATCATGAGGGGTGCCAAGGCCGAGATGGATGCCACCAAACCCATCCAGACACACCCATAAACAATGTACTGTCTCATTGTCATCGACCTTTTAGAAACACTGGAAAGCGTTACTTGCAACATTTTAGCACCAGACACCAGTTGGGTCAGGAGTGATATACTGTAATTTTTACGATGGTGCCTAAACGGGTCATCTTTGCCTCGATGGGTCTCCTCCTGATGGCGGGATGCACTGGTGGTAACGAGATGTGTAAGGCTGCCATTGTTCATAGAGGAGCGAGTCCTCCTACATGGATTCAGTGGGGCGGAAAATACCACAAAGCCACCACGGGGGGATTAACATGGCCAGAAGCCAAAGACGAGTGCATCAAGATGGGAGGTGTCTTCGTCGTGCCCCAGTCTGACGAGGAAACTGATTTCCTCTTACAGATTGTGCGTGGGGAGTTATTGGTTGATGCTGAATGTTTGAAATTTATATCTAGGATAATGACATGCGAGGAGTTCAATAAGTGCGAAACTACCTTTTCTTTTCATAAATTATTGTTGATTATTTTAATGTCTAGCTCTGCATTAATATCATTGTTTGTCTTAACAGGTAACTGGGACTGTCGTTCTAGCAGCGGTGCTTTGGCCTCCAGCAACTGGAAGCAAGGAGAACCAAACAACTTAGGAATTGAGGACTGTGCTGTGGTAGTCTCAACCGGATAATGGAACGATGTAGCACGTCATTTGGGAAAAGGTTGCAATATGCCAAGGTGGAACCATCCTGCGAAACGGTTGCAGTCAACCCTCAGTGAGTGAAATTTGACTGATCCAAAACACTATTGTATGGGGGAAGGTCGGATCTGGTCGGGGGTGCCAAAAATTTAGGGATTTTTGGTTAGTATTGTCCTTGGGGGCTGTTTTAGGGGTCTTTTAAACGCTTTTGAAAGGAAGGAAATGAAATAGTTTTTAAAAATGGATGGAGCTGGGCATGCTCCTGTTGGCCCCCGGATCTGTGATTTCACCTTGCGGCGATTGCTTGTTATATGAACTCAAACCCGGAGGCTTTGGAGAACTGAATTTTTCAGTGGTCAAGACGTGCCCCAATGGAAATGATAAAACACCTTGTAACCCAATGAAAATTGGAATCAAACCGACAAGATGCAGAGACAGACCCTAACCATGACCTAGTATGACAGCGCCTGTCTCTGCTAATTTAAAAGGACACAATATGCAGAAAATCAGGAGGTTTTCATTAATTAAAGCAACAATAATGCTTTAAGGTGTAAATAAAAGTTAATATTTTATTTAAACGTATTCACAACAGCTCTGAAAATATACTTATCACGCAATTCTTTAACTTGTGATGTACACTTAAGTGTACATTCTAAGAAACAGTATTTACGACAGATTAAGCAAATTTATCGTGTTGATGGTTCACTTGATTTTAATAAAACTTAATGTTATATACATGTATGCAGTGCAGTATCACCGTGACCAATCCCAATGGTGCAACCGATGAGTTTTTTTAATAAAAGCAAAATTATGGACGTGTAGGCCTATTGCATTACCGAAGATATCACTTTAAACGGTTAATGGACCAGTCTCTCGCAGCACCTTCACTGTTCTGATCTAGATATTTTGGCTTAATCAATAACGAAAACAAGAATATTTATCATGTTTTCCCTTGAAGTTCGAAATCTCTTCTAAATAATTACGGGAAAGACTCCCATTTTGAGAGTGTTAAAACGTTCGTATTTTGAGAGTTTTCCATAAAGGACAGATCTGGAACCAAATTTTCGTGGAAACAAAAATTGGGGAACTAAACTTTTATGGTTTTTCGGAGGGATGAGGCTTTAGTAAGCCTTTCGTTGTATTTTTGATAGAAGCTAATTTCCCCCTTTTGTTAATTATACGTCTAAGTTAATCAACAAGAGGAAACTATCTTCTGACATTAACACCTGATGCATAGATGAGATGTGACTGTTGCGGTTTCCTGTTCATATTTTACGCATCTACATTTCAGCTTACTCCTTTCTTCAACCCAAAAGCGTGCACTCAAAATGAGACCCCCCAAGAAATAGACGTACTTGTAAATGACTGCTTATCATCCGAGTCTGTGCTGCAACGGCATTTCTGTTTTAGTCCTTTAAATAATGTATAGCTGCTATAAAGTAAAATATAGCTTGTGACTTGAATTGAGACTGGAGGTCTTGTGCTGGTTTTGCGTGATCTTGTGAAGGTCTTAATTGGTGTCGACTACAAATATCCATCCCTGCCACCAACTGTGCAGAGGTACAGTATCAGCAAATCCCAACCCCATGGGCCCTCTTAAGGGCAGGTCCAGAACATTGGGGGGGGCCTTTGGGGGGACGCAAGGTTAAGAATTTCTTTGTAAAATCTTTTACTGACCTTCTGAGGGACGAGAGCTAAATCAGAGGACTTTCTATTTTTAACATGTTTTGGAGAAAAAAATACCCTTTGAGGCCATGGTCTCGGTTCAGGACTACATGTATTTTCAAGCATTCTGAGACTAATTTTCTGACATCATAGGGCAAAAACACACAAAAAACCTCAAAGAACAACAAAAAAACAAAAACAAAAACGAGCGATTCCAACCGTATATGAAAATGTTTCAACCTTTGAGCCGGATTTCAGAGTCTATTTATAAATGTTTTATCCCCCAAATATCAATCCGTTGACCCAAATAGATAGGCCTAACCTTACCGTAGAGGTCGAGATAGCCAACGATCACCCCAGCTTTAAAAAATACTATCAGTTTGTTTTAAGTTAAATATTAATGTCATCAATACTTCAGTGATATTCCCATCATTTACCCTCATCACATTGATTGTCACATGTAAAATCACATATGAATACAAACATATGGATCGTTATGTAACGAACACAACCCACACAAGGCTTTTCAACTGACTAGTAAAAATACCGTAACAAGGGAAGACATTATTTGAGGATTGAATTAAACATTTTGGAAGTTTGGCTGAATCCGATATATAAAAAGAAGGAAAGCATTCCCCACAAGCAGCTGGCATTGATCGCTGGGTGGCACCGTGAGAATGGGCCTCGCTGTGGGGCGGGCGTCACTCCCCCCCCCCAAAAAAAAAACTTTGAAAGACAAAAAGAGGAACAAAGAAAAAGCTGCAGGAAGGAACAAAGAGGATTGGGGATAAACAAAGATCACTAATCTGCTTGAAAGTAGGTCTCAGAATAGACCCCCTTTGATCACTTTTGACGATTTGTCACTTTGTCAGTGCAAGACCCTCCACTCCTTGTAAAATATCCTAACGACGCCTATGGATGCGACACAGTTGATAAATCCACATCGTGTCACTTGCAAAAATCGATGGTTCTTTTGTTTACTGGACCACCTACTATGCCCACGAACTTCGGGAATCGTTTTGCAAGAAAAAACAACTTGATTTCAATGTTCACCATTAAGCGTATCATTACAAAATGTAAATTTGAACAGAGGTCACAACTGCATGACTCAAATGATAGAAAGACAGCAAATGAATGACGTCATATTGATGTATTCCTAGCCTCCTGGATATCCGGGTTTAAAGAAACCTCTCCTTCATTCTGATCTCATCTTTCCCACGTCTTTAAAAAGGTAACAAGGCTCCAAACGATCACAGACTATTTCCTTTTGGACAAGAATTCTTGCGATAAGAGAGCTTAATAGAATTTCGCCAGTTCTTAGACAGCCTTCTCGGTTCCAAATACCACTCGAAGCAAGGCCAATGATTGGAACAAATCATTTAAAATTAATTAATGAACACACTGGCGATGTGCTGATTTTAAAACTGACATTTCGGGCTTACGTGTAATCTTAAGATACCTAAGATTAATTAATATAACTTTTACTTAATCTTCTTTCTTTGAGAAAAATCCATTAAGCATTCGTGGTTGATTACAAGAAAGACCATATGCCTACGCTCCTGTTTACGCAACACAAAACAGTCCAGCACAACTCCAGAAAGACCACGACCCTCGGTGGTAAACCGAAGGCAACTCATACGTTCCCAGTACTTACGGTAAATCGTCGTTTCCAATGAAAGTGAAATTATAAAAAATTCAATATCAGACCCAGCAAAAACTTCAGTATGTTTGGCTGGTCGTTTTATAGGCTGAGAACAGATGTCTCATCGCAGAATTTAAAAAAAATATATGTCAAAATCTTTACACCGAGATAAGTTTTATTTACTCAATATGTTTAACTTTTCTGTTTTCTTTTATCCATGCATATATGGATTGTATTGTAAATGCTGAATTTGGGCATCGTGAAATCTTTAAGAGTATACCAGCGGCCGAACTTTTAAGGGTCGGTCTTCGGGATAAAAGTAATTGGCAATTGTTTAGTCTTTGAAGAATAAATTCACTGCACACCATCCACTATTCAAGCAGATTTAGTTTTGTACTTGAACTAGCCAGTTCATGACATGTAGTCCTTTGTTCCTTTTTTCATTTTTGTCCCATTTCTGTAGTAGCTCGATGGTAGGGGACACATACAAGGTGTCTGTTGTATCTTCGCTAGTTTTACCCACATCTTTAGCAGAAAGATCTTCGTGATTAAGTTTGTCAGTGTTTGTCTCGTCTGATGTTAGTTCGTATTGCACCAGTACAGGCAAGCTGATGTTAAGCTCATCTGAAGGTTTGACCGCCTTGCTTTGCTTTTCCGTCTCGTCGTACATGAAGACGAACGTTTTATTGCGGGCAATCTTTGGACTGGTAGCAAGCGAAGGCAACGAGTTAGTGTCGGTCCCACCGTCGGCACAACGGCTTATCACAGAGATCGTCCTGGGGGGAGCCATGTTGCTCTCGGTCATTGATTCTGCGGTCACTGAAGGCGGAGCAACTACCCGTCTCTCCTCCGTCGAAGATGTGGACAGCGAAAAATTCCGAGGTCGGATTCTCTTAAAACGATGATTCTCCGGATTTCCTAGCCCAGTGCTTCGGACACTCGACGTCCGTGTCCGATGGGGAGTCTCCGACCTCGGTGGCGTTGGGATGGAAGTAACCAAGTTACGTCTCCGAGATAAATGCATCTTCCTCAGGAAACAAGGAATCGCTCAACTCTCATCCCTTGTCGCTCCCTGTAACTCCAAATAGGCCTATTCCAGCTACTTCACACGGAATGGTCCAGCGTCGCGTTAAGTACATAGCAAGACCAATCTCTGTGCAGGCCGAGGAAATAAGTGGGCACACACAGCTTTCAGAAAATGTCGCTTCCGTCAAAATGGTTGAGGTTTACTCGTTATTTTTTGAACCTATCGACACAAAAAACGAGACGGTAATCTCATGAAGGGTTACTCAATTGCGTCCAAGTAAACTTCAGGTTCTGCGATCGGCTCAAGGGTCTGCACGCAACCTCAATCTCCCTCAAACTGAAAACACCGGCCGGCAGGTTATTGCCGACTACGTTAGTCCCCGGTGCGTTTATGCGTGACTCGGCACAAAGTACAGGTCACTTGTTAACTGTGACGACTGCGGGTGGGTGGCGGGGGGGTTGTCAAGCCGTGGGGTCATGTCTAGGACACAGACGGAAAGTTCCATAACAGAACAACCAACATATCACGCAGGCTTTGAGCTGCCGCCGCGCCGGCAGCACACACGAACAGATCCACTGCCTCATTATTGACCCAAAGGCTAGTCTATGATGACGAGACACGACAGATGGCGTGATGATTGGGCTGGTATTTATGGAGGATTAATGGTCTATAAGGGAAAAATGGGACTGATTGACCAATGTGTTAAATAAAGACTGGAGGGGCTGAAGAAATTTGCTGAATAATGGACTTAGCTAGTAGTACATGTACTTCTCACAATTTAGGCTACATGTAGATGCATCATGCACTGTGACTGTAGTCCTCATTTTTGAGGCCTTTTTGATTGTTAATTAGTAAGTGGATCCCCGGGAAAAAATTGGAAAAACAAGAAAGAAAGCAGCAGTGTCTCACATTCATTTCGTGCTTGCCTTTACAGACGAAATGAATCTTTTCAACTTCGGGATATTGCTTTTTTTTTCTTTTGCATGCATACATGTATGTACATGCCTCTGGTTCAAATCCATTGCCAAATCAATTACTTCAGAAATGTCTACCCTTTCCTCTCCAAAACCATTCATTCGGTTTCCCCTAACAAAAGCTCCACGCAGACTGTTTTAAATGCAATGCCTCCAGCAATGTTCCCGGATCTGTAATTTTTCCATACATGGAACTCTCATAAAACCGGATCCCATCGACTTTGTCGACATGTCGGCCTTTGTTGATGGGGGAGCAAAAGTTTAGACAGATGTCCTTGCATTGGCCCCATGTCAATGCCTGTCATCGATCGATCAACTTTCTCTAAATCCGTAATTTGACTAAGCCGCTGGCTATCACGTGTTCCGAGCGTGGTTCGTTCTTGATAAAGCCGTAAACACCAGGCTAGACTTGACTTCAAGTCGTTCTAGTAAATGTAAACAGATTTCATTGACCGTCGCAGCACGGGTCTTTATTTTCTTCTACATATGGTCAAAGTGAATGGACTTTCAGAAGCGATTTGATTCTTAAGGTTGGAACAAAGTCGCCTCTCACAATCACGATGTAGTCTTGTCCCATGGTACAAGGACATGCACTGACTTAACGACTTTTAAGACACCATTTGCTTGCAAAATCTGTATGCGGCTCAGAAATGTCAAATGACAGGTCCGTCCTACGACTATCAACTTCGAGTGCCCCCCCCCACTGTAGCACAGTTCAGATTTCATAATGCCAAAAAGTTCTCACTTTGATGTTTATTGACAACAATATTCCAGACTTGACAAAATAACCAAGTTAATTATTGTTCAAGTTATTTATTGCCCACAAACCACCATCCTCGAGAAAAACAAGTTGTTTGTGAAGATTGAATGCCTTTTGTACTGCCATATTTAGCGGTCGAGAAGTACCATCGAGTTCTAGTATGCATACGTATGTATATAAGTATAATTCTAACAGATTGTAAATTCCAGAGAACTGATTCTACTTTGTAATTGTGCTTTACAAAAGTTGTTTAAAAAAACAAGTTTGAGTTGAGTGCAAAACGTGTGTATCAGATTTGTTCATCGATGCAGAATCGAACATTTCTATAAATATTAATATATATTTAAGAAATGCCTCATGGACAGGGCAAATGTGCTGTGAGTCTTTCATGAGAGATGCACTTTATAATTTCACTTTTCTCTGCCTTCTTCCCTTTTTGGATGGAGGGGGAGAGTTTGGTTACGCAGTTCTCAAAAGAATACATGTACAAAGCTCATGTTTTCCATGATTCATATTTATGTATGCAATGTGGTTATGTCGTTATTGTATGAAGAATACTTTGAATGAGCCTAAAACTAAATCAAGAAGATGTAGCAAGTTCAGTTCTGAGCTCAAGCATTTGGGAGATTTGGGGCATTTTTAAAGCATTTAATGTTTTTTTTTATATAATTAAATCAACTTCAAAATCAAGACTTTGATATAATTTCCAGGGCACAATGAACACTATGTCAGTTTGAAGGTTAATTCACTCTTTTGAAAGTTTCTTTATGACCTGAATTACATCCAGTTTAATCTACCAATCGTTAGAGTCTCCCAAGAGCTCAGAGAAGGATGATCTTTGGAGTGTATCAGAGAAACTTCCCTCACACCTGTGAAATGTTGGCGATGTGTACAACATGAATCGGCCTCTGAGCTGGAACACTAGCCCGCCATCTAGACAAAGTGTTTGTTAAAGTCGTACATCTCATCATTCCCGCTACCAGAGCTGCCCAAAAAGTCCATAGCCTGAGTGAGTTCATTGGATAGGTTAGTAGCCAGTTTATCTGTTGAGAATATGAGAGGGAACTGTCAGAGTTATTAATGATGCCTTTAAAAATGTAGTAGAAATACTGGAAAGCTGTAAGAGAGTGTTTATTCATTAGAGAAGTGTAAAAAGTTGCAGAAAAATTGCATCTAAGGAAAATTCATTGCAGCTGCACTTTAACACACAAGAGCACAGGACGAAGGTCTGAAATACAATGCTGGATTTGGGTGGATTTCCAAATATTCCAAGCAAGAACGCATTGGGATTTAGGACTTAAACTCCATTGCTGGGTAAGTCCTTAAAGTCTTAGAATACTAGCATCATTTTTTCAACCTGTCAAATGCAGGTTTTCCAAGAGATTTTTACTGACCTCAAGAATTAAAAAATGAGAGGCATGATTCTAGTCCTACACATTCAAGCAACTAATTTAGACAGACAGTAGTCAACTCACCAGATCTTTTCCTCTTCTTCAGTATCTGTTTGAATTCCTTCTTTTGGATTTATTCTGTTGGTCATTGCCAGGAGCTACTGCCTTCTCAACTTTGCTGGGGATAATGGCAGCCCTGTTTGACCTAGCTGACCTTGTGACCTTTGACATATCACTCTTACTGGATGTCTGACTAGGTGTCTTTGATTCCAATGAGACTGTGACATCATCCAACTATTTCAGAATGTCAAGTGGGTATGGAGTTACATGTTACAAACTGCTATAATTCTGGTTGCATCGAAATCCAACAAGGTTATGGATATTTTTGTATCGCAGTAATTACCATTGTAAAGTTCTTTTCTACATTCACAATGTAAACATTCAAACAAATTTTTAAAATTCTTCTAATCACAAATTTGACATGATATTAAAACACTACCCTTTACCCTTTTCAGAGGACACACAATCAACTCAGATAAAAAGTGAAGCTTACTATGTTCCTTGGGTATGTGTAATTTGAAGCTGCAAAGCTCCTCTCTGGAATATGCCAACACAGATAGTCCACATGGCGCCCTCAACGGTTACTGCGCATAACTGATGGCTCATGCTACCATGGTTCATGGCTTATTCTTACCTCAGACTCTTCTTTCTGCTGATCTTCAGCTTCCTCCATGTCTTCCCAATCCTCCCCCTCTTCAAGCTCCTCCCCCTCCTCCTCATCGATGACATCATCTTCATCGTCGATGTCGTCATCTTCATCGTCAATGTCCTCCTCAGCATCAATATCTTCATCATCCTGTTCCTCTTCCATGTGTGTCTCTTTGCTCAAACTTTTCTCAATCTCTTCCTCGGTCGCACCCATTGTCAGTCCAGCAGACTCAACAAGTATTGTCTTGCTCGGTCGGACTGGTGGTAAGACTATTCAGGGTACAGACAACGGCAAAAATAAGTCCCCTTATATAAGATTTGAACTAGCCCCACAAGGTAGGTTGTTGAGTGGCTGAGACATCTACACTAGTAAACAGGAAGTCAGGGAAGCATGTCCTACCTGGGCAAGCTGATAAGAGAGCTCTTAGAAAGCAATACACATAATATTTAATAAATTACACATAAATATTTTTATGATTTCGGCCTTTGTGGAGAAATCTGTTGCTGAGATCGACATTTTCAGTTTTCATTGTAAAAGTCCAAGATTCATCTCAGCCCTAAAGTCCATCAATATTTAAAACAGTTAACAGTACATTAAAATGCCTTTCTAAAAATTTCAAAATCCACAATCCAGTGAGACTATTTTTTGAGGCAAACCACAGATGCCTGAAAAAAGCCTAAACTCCAAGCCCTTTTTTCCCACAACAATGTCCCAGCTCATGAAACACATTTCTTGTGAAGTTGGACAATTCTTGTACTTAAAGTTCTAAAGTTCCAAAGAGTAAGGAAATAAAAATTGCACAAATTGAAATTTGGGTCTTGTACAGACAGCTGAAATGGATCAAAATGTTTACCTCCTAACGTCTCCTTGTCTTCCTTCTCAAGAGAACCGATGTCAAATGCTTTACCCATCTCAGACAAGATCTTGGCATCAATATGTGCAGGTAGACTGTGCTGCTCTGGCGGATGTGTGTAGAATGCTATCCGTCCACTAACAACACAAGATATTAGAGAAAATGTAGGCATGGAGAGCTGTCTCCTTATTTGGAACAATCACAACAGTTACTCTTTAGGATTGAAGAAATGCTACTGAAACCATTTGCTAAATGGAAACACAAGAACCTTGTTTTCAGGATCCAAAATGCATCCACTACCAACACTGAGCCAGTAACGATCAGGTTTTCCTTAACCCTAACCTTCCCATCCACAGAGAATTAAACAGTAGTAAAGTGTTTCATTCTGTGGGGATAGGTCTGGTAGGCCCAGACAGATGGCTTTTGCATTGGGTTTGGCATACCTCAGAAAATCCAACAGCCTCTGTGCACAAAGTCCCATATGGATGTTTAACTTTGTGTGAATGGGGACTGGGTTAGCACTCTAAATGATCAAATGGCCAGACAACTAAAATGTCGATAGAAAAAATGCTTGAGCCCAAACTACGCAAGCTAGAGAGGGCTCTTGTTCACAATCTCTCAGAAAAAAAGGCCCACTAATACTTCAAAAATTGAATCAGAGAGGAGCAACATCTCAAAATGGAAACTGGCGAGGGATTTCCTATAGAAATTTGAAGTTGGTTTATTCCTTTTCAGATCTGCCCCAGACCTGTTCCAGTCCATGAGCATCCTTCTGGCAGCCTTGTTAACGTCAGGCACTCCACCTTTCTTCAATCTTCCTTGCCGTTTGGCTAGTAGCGACAAGAATTCGTTGACATCGCTGAAGTCTGGAATCGTGTAGTGCAACATGATCTACGGAAGTGGAGGAATTGAAGAAAACTGACAAAGTATTTGTCTAATAAAAGCAGCTCTGGTTGAAATGAATGACTTGATACTTGGTTGGCAGACGACTGACTCTTTGAGTAGTGGTGATTTGCTCTGACAAATTATTTGCAAATTCAAATGTTTTGCTCCTATGCAAACTACTTTCACTTGCCAATTAGTCTGCTTGCTGCTATGTGAACAGTTTTACAAACTCAAGACTGAAGAGCGAGCACATTTGAGCCATGTCTTACAGCACTGCTACTCATATTAAATTGACCCAGTGAATTCCCCGTAAGTTTTTATCACCTGCTGCTTGTTACATCTCTTGAGAATTGCCTCTACCGGCGAAACAGGATCATCAAGTGCTGCAACCTGGAATTCAAAGGCACCAGACTTAACTCAGCAGACACTTAGGATTCTACATTAAAGAACACCTCTAAGGAAAACATATTTTCCCTGATTTCATCTGTTCAAATAAATACGGAAGCATCCATATCGAACGCAGTGTCATTTTTCTTCAGAGCTCAACTATAACAAGCTTAAAAGGGCTTTTTCTGTTCATGCCAAGATGCAAATTCTGAATGTAAATTGCGCCATTCTGAGGAAACAGTGAAAACGAGGGGAACCCTCGCCCTGTATTCGTAATGGATAAGCCCTTGTGCATGCCAAACAATGGCTACAAGCAATGGCTACATTGGCTACTGTTTCCTAAGGGATGCTCTTTAAATCTCCAGCAATGCCTTGAAGTATGCCATCTTAAAACAAATTAAAAATACATGTTTTTATCATTTTAAAATTGACATTTTCCAATCACCATTGCTTACGGTTGATGTGCACTGAACAACACTCTCAACATCCTGACAATAATTTCTGATAGGAAACTATGTCCAATTTGGGGTTTGTGGCTATGTGCTAAAGGGGTTGCCACTAACGCACCACACGAGGGGTTTAAGGTTTCTCAAAAGTGGGATGAATCCCATCTTTCACCTTGATACAGTTGCGCAACACCATGGTAACTTCACTATTTGTTGTTGCCATGACGACACCAGGACTATCTAAAAGCTTGATATTTTTAGCCAGCTGGACCTCTTGCTTTGCTCTGTGAAAAAATTGAATGAAGGACACTGAACTCAAAGACAGGGAAATACAAGTTCTAAAATGAACAGGCCTACTCAAGAATTAGTAAGTCTCATATAGCAGCCATTTTGAGGAACTAATCAAAGAATAATAACCACTAATGAGTCCCGAACTAGACCAAGAGAGGGCGCAATTTAGGCTCCTTTGGTAAGAACTGCACTTTGCTGATTCACAAATGGCTATGAAATGCACGCGTTACGTTTGCATCGCTACCAACAAAATGAGCACTCCGGACCAAGATGGCTCTTTTCAACCCTTGAGGGGGTGGTTCTGCTCAAGGTGGATACCAATTAACATGGTGATATCTACTCTAGGTGTAGATGATATAGAAAACTTCGTGCGGGAAGTCTATACTTTTTCAAATCTACCAAAAAGGCACAATATGCTCTAGATCCTAAACGCAATTACCTCACAGTCATTGAAATGTCACATTTCACCATTAGTAAAGAACTCTCAACTGGTATAAAGGGTTACAGTGGCCAAGTTCATCATATGTCAACCATTGGATGATTTTGGTTGCTACCTGGGATACATTTTATGCATGGGTTACCAGGCAAAATGACCAGTGGTTGTCAAAGGAACACTGATTTATTAAACTTGGCTGACCAAGTGAGAATGGTCCACGCAGACCAACAAGAATTTAGACCTCTCAGTTCTAAGGATTCAAGTTCCCAACCCTTCAAAGCAAAAAATGAAAGTAACAAAAGCGGTAATTATGACAAACTAAATAAGACAACAACACGAATTTGGTACGGGAAGAACATCCAGTCAATGGGTTTTGTTTTTGACAAATTGCCAGTCCTGCCTTTTCTGGATAAAGGAGTAGTCATTGTTTACATGAGGAGGACCCTAGTGTTCTATTTTTTCTGTACACCCTGTGTTAATGGGACTGGTAATGGACCTAAATCTGGGGCGTAAGTCTTTCGCCTTCCCCTACTTTTTAAAAATCAGTGCATGAGTTATTAGTCCCCCTCAGAAACCCCTCCCTAGGTCCTTTCTGGCTACGGGCTGGATCCACGTACTTTGTTACTCCTGGCTGTGATCCCACACTACAAGCCTTGACTCGCTTCAAGCTATTGATGACACTACTCTTGCCGACATTGGGAAAACCTTTGAACGACACACAAGAAAGCAAAAACAATGTTAGTCAGTGTATTACTGATGGCCTGCTGGTGTACCAATGGCATATTAGGGATTGCTTGCTGTAAGAACTGGTTCACGTATTTTGGCTGAGTACACCAGCCACAGGTTCAATCTGTATCTTTTAATGACATTCTGTACTAAGTGTCCGGAAACTGCCATTTTGTCTTTTGGGGATCTTTTTTGTCTTCTGAAAGAGACAAAAAATTGTGATGGTGGGTCCCACAAGTGTGCGGACAACTTGTTGAAAGCAGCCCTCTATATTTTGCCCTTAGATTTGAGTTTGAAAAGTCAATTTTTTCTTTTGCGAAATTTTGTACATTTCGTGCTGTGAGTTGAGCAACAGAGAAGAATGAGCTTTTACACTAGAAGCACGAATCATTGTTAAAGATGCGTTCATGGCAGACAAAAAGAAAGATTCTCTTCCATTTGAGCTTACGTACCAACTATTCCAACAGTGATGGCTGTTTTGATGTCAGCATTCCTACAGTAGTTGTTCAGTAGCTTCATCAGTGTTTCAGCACCAAGGCAACGACTCGACTGCAACAAGTCCTTAGTGGACAGTCTGACTGGAACCTTGCTTTGTGACTGCAAGACAATCATCTCATAATTCAAGTTGGATTTAATACCAATTAGATCAATTGTACTTTCTAATTACAATACTCAGGTATGCAACATGGACTTTGAAGAAAAACATGGAAATTCCAATTTTTAATAGATTTTGTATTTTTTCAATTTTCAATGGGGTGAGTCTGAAGTGAAAAACCAGGCAATTAGCTCATCCGAGAAGTTGCCTGCCTGAGCACTTAGAATTAAATGCAGAATTCTGACACCATCTGCCAGCTGAAATCCGAGTAGATATCATGAACTCCTTCAAGTAACTGTTGATGTTATCAAGACAGGCTATGAAGCACAGATCAACTATACGCATTGATTGGCTCATGTCAACAATGGCAGGACCCAAGGACAATGTTCAACCGAAACAGCAAGTTGAATGTTCTCATCAGAGAATTTTGAGTTGCCATGGCAACAAACTTGACAACAAGCACCTGTCTCAAGTTGTTGGGAAGTGATAGCTACTACAAAACCACGTGCAATGAGCAGAAATGCCTGTCAAAAGAATCTTATCTTGAATGTACAATTCATCCAAACACACAAACGGTCAGCCTGCTTACCAAGTTGTGTCTCTGTAGCTGTGTTGAGGCCTTGAATGCAACAGTCGGGAATTCATTCCTAAGATGCTTCAACCATTTCTCCACATTCTCACTGGGTACCAGATCTACAAGATGAACAGAATTACATCTCTTAAATGTGTTTTTCTAAAATTCTTCCCAACATGCAGGTTGGTCCCAGTCCTACTTTCAGTCACTATCCTTCATTCTACTCCAATACCTTACATCTCATTGGATTATTTTTTAAATAAACAGGATGAAAAGAATTACACATAGATTGTATTTCAAATTACTACATCACCCATCCTTTTAACATATCATAAAATCTCCTTTAGTCACGACTTGTTTTTATGGAATTGTAAACTTTTCTTCTGTACTTCCTGAACAAACCTACACATCACGACTGAAGAGGTCACTGTGCACTAACCAACATCCTACCAAATTCCATATAAAGGGCCTCAGTGCAAAAGCTTCCAAAAGCTCCTAAAAATGTTTTACTTTCTGATGTCATCAAAATCTGTTGAATACATGCTGAATTTTGGTCCTTGCAGCTTGTGTGAGCCAGCAGGGGTCAGTTAGACCCTGTTCCAAATCCATCAAACTCATATAAACCCCATATAGCATTTGACAGATTGTGGGAGTGCTTGGCGTCTTGTCTATCAAAGAATCTGTGAGCATTGTCAATGTTTCAAAGAATACCATGTTTTACCAATTTTATTGAGGAGAAGAACCATTTTCTTGTTGACTCCAGCTGACAAGACTGCTTGTTCCAGCTGAGGGCAGCGAGATCCCATGGGATCGCGAGCGTCAAGGACCTGTATGACGACATCTGATGCCTCAAGCACTTTCTTGAATTCCTTGTAATATGTCTTTCGAGATGTCTCAGTGTCTCGCAGACTGTGTGTGGTGGAAGTGTCTTTAGATCCACGCTGGGCTTGCTAGGAATTAAACCAAGAAATACCGAGGTACCGGCACTAAAATGGGCTCTCCATAAACAGGTCCACACTTAAGATTTGGCTTATGACTGCTTTACAACTGACCTGTGATTTGGCTTATGACTGCCTTACCAATAACCTGTGATTTGGCTTATGACTGCCTTACCGCTCACCTGTGATTTGGCTTATGACTGCCTTACCACTCACCTGTGATTTGGCTTATGACTGCCTTACCACTCACCTGTGATTTGGCTTATGACTGACTTATGACCTATTTGTGATCTGAGTTAATGAACTTCTGATGGACTTGAAATGACCTCTCTTACTCCTCTTATCTGTCATGACTTAGATGACTGACAAGTATCTTTCTTAAACTCTGTCTACCTTCTTCTCAAAGTCTTTAGCTCTCCTTTCGGCATTCTTTTGCAGATCACCAAGCTTCCTCTGCTTCATGACTTCTTGGAAACGCCGATCTTTCTGCCTCTTCTTCTCTTCTTCAGCCTAGGAAAAAACCCAAAGTAGTTCAAACCTTTGGTTCTTACTCAAAGCAACTAGGTGTGGTTAACTAAAGAGCCCAACGGAATTCTAAGGTTGGCAAAAAATCAAGTCTGTATTTCAGTGTGAAGTTCAAGGTTCTGTTACTTGAAAACAAATTGGGAGGAATGAAAGGAAGATCTGTGGTGGCACATCATGTCAATCTCTTTTGTGAGAGAGGACCTGACAAGTCCAAAAATTGACGGACTCAACACTTCAGACAATGTGCTCTGTCCATCTCCTCCCGACAATGGACAGAACGTAATGTCAGAAACTCTGAAACTCACAAGAGACATGGACACAGTGCTATGTCCACCAAACACACCTTCCAATCAAGTAAGTAGTAACAATTACACAAGTATACACAAGGTGTAGCACACAAATTGTAAGACTTCTTTTGTCATGACACATGTTGCTCAGTACATTTTGTTCTTAATTTTCCATCTTTGGCTGAGGTGGCTGCACTTACCTTTGCTTTGCGGTCCTGTGCCTCTTTTAAAATGTTCTCCTTGAATGGAGCCAAGTTGGGAATGCCGATATCCTTCTTAGGCCGTTGTTTGTTTCCTTTTTTCTTTTCTTCTTTTCTCAGCTTCCGTCGGTGCTCTTTGACCTTTGAGTAGATTTGACAATTATTATGTCATCAGTCAAGGCATAGACACACACACACACACACAAAATTATCCAACAAAACTACTGCTTCTGTTAGCAAGTCAACATTGTTGAATAAAAGACTGGTGGTCAATAAAAAAAGATAATTACATAGGGTTTCTTCAACTGAAGATCAACAAGGGTACCTAAGGGTACCTGTTAAGGAGAAGTCTCCCGCTCATCAACTCACCTTTTTCTGTACTTTGTATCGAACCTTAGCAAGAACACGCTTGCTTTTCATCTTACCTACAAAAAGAATGATTTTGAAAAAAGGTAAAATTAAGGGAATTTACTTTAATTGAAGGAAATGCCATGAATGCCAAGATATTCATGTTTAGATTTCTGAAATTTAACACACCTACATGTCTACGCATCTTACTTGTTTCAATGTTTGTCCACGGTAAAAGACCATGAATACGGGACTGAGGATATTTCAGATTTTAATATTGTCCATTTCCCAATTTGAATAACTATCCATCAATCAAACATTGGTCATTGGTTAATCGGGGAACAGTTCCATATACGGACGCCAGTCATCATTCCCTACAGTGACCTATTAGCCATCAGAAAGCAAAAATACATCCAGAAAAGTTCAATTTAAGAGGGAAAATATGAAGTTGTTTACTTTGAAACACTTGGAATTTTTTCTGCATGCTTTTTGTGAATGGTCCGCTACAGGCCAGCAAGCCATGAAATCGTCTCCAGAACATTAACATACAGTTTAAATCACTATTTCAAACAAGATGGTGACATTGCGGCTGACAACAAGACAGTTTCCGATTTAAAGGGAAAATTTCTCTTTTCTTCTCAAATGTGAGTAAACCTTACCATCATTATTGGAATCTCTGATTCTCACTTGATCCTAAGCCAGGTGCATAAGACAGTTGAAAGACCATTTTTGAAGGTGAATTCGGAGGAATTTGATTTTGGGTAGGCTACGAGGTATTTTGAGTGAAATGAATAAATGGAAGCAAAAGCCTGTGAAAGGTACTAGGACCCTACTTTCACCCAATCATAAGCCTTCTCGCCAATACTGATTTTGCACAACCATGACAGTTGTGGAAAGGCATTATGGGAAGGCATGGAAGGGAAAAGAGGCAATGTTTGCCACTTTCACCTTCCCATGATGCCTTTATACTATTGTGCAAAATCATTCTTGCAGTATTAGCAATAAAGCTAATGTCCAAATGTTAAAAAGGCGATTTGTAGGGTCCAGATCCAAGTTACTCTACCACTCGGAATAACCACTAACCTAACAGTGCTTAACAGCTTAAGTTACAATATACCGGTCGTACTAATTAACGTCACCACGTGTCAACACATGATAGTAGCGTCAACACACCCAAATCACGTTCTAAATTAACAGAAACGCAATTCGATAGCAATATAATGCATAAAATACAATTTAGCTTACAACAGTGGGCGACATTTGGGGGGGAAAAGCCATTTTATTTCACGAAAATAACACCCTCCGCACAGCAACAAAACACTGTAGCCATGTTTCCTCTCGGTCAGACAGACCATACCATTATGCTACAGGGGGTCACCTTTATAGAGTAAACCATGGTACGGTCCAAAGGCCGTGAAAAGGCAGGATGGCAGCGAACGGCAGCGCTGCTCAGAGACAATTTTTCATGTGAAAAAACTCCCTTGAAATGTAGTAAAATGTAAACTCGATTAAATAGAAATTATTCCCAAGCGTATACATTAGAGTTCGATACGTCTGTTTTCAATGCATTTTGTAAATGTAAGTGTTAACGGTGTGTTGACGTTACTATCAATGTGTTGACGGTGTGTTGACGCTGATTAGTACGACCCCAATACACATGTGCAAGTGGCATGGACATGATCAGATGATGGAAGTAGAATGAGTAAACTTACGCGGTCTCCCCTTTTTAACCATGTTTCTCTTTTGAGCGGTGTGGAGAATCAAACAATGGAGACAAACAACACAGATCGCAGTTCAAGACAGAAACAGTTACTCTGTTGTTAAGTCACTCAGTTGCAGCGATTATAACCACGCAAAGTGACAAATAACGGGGAAGTCTATTGCCTGTCGAGCTCATACGCGTAGCTAGCTCACCCACACGTGCAATGTGTTCACGTACCCAAAAGAAACTGGGGTTTTCAATTACACATAGAAAATACAAATACATTCCGGGAAAAAGGTTAACATCCGGTCCCTAGACTCAAGGAAGCAATAAATTAAAGTAATCTGCATTCCCAATGAGAGGGTATCAGACTATTACAATTCTTGATCGTTCGTTCTGCCCCGTTCGTGCTGTTCTTTGTCTAGTGCTCAGGTGTTGCTCTCCAAAAACGTCTCGATAGTAAAATACCGAGGGAAACTCCAGATTGAAAACACGTTAAGGCCACTTCAAATTCCGCAGCTGAGGTGAAGTAGTTTCTAGATCTAACGTTAGCTCCTGACTACATGAGTTAAATACCGTTTGCAGAGAGTGCTACTCGAGTAGTACTACTGCCTGAGCCTACGCATAAGGCGGGGGGGGGGTTCGTCGTCCGCTGTGCTCCCAAGAACGTGGGATTGTTACGCCCCAACCCCAAACGTCTGTAGTCCCAACCCCAAACGTCTGTAGTCCCAACTGTGACCATAGTTGACCAATTTCTATAGAAAATTTCTCAACCTTATCCGAGTTTATGCCTCATACACTTGACACATACCTTTTCGACGTTCACAATGCGTTATGGGTTTGGATGACAAACATGCAATACATTTTATGCACAACCCTATGGGAGAAGTGTGCCTGCAAAACGTCAATCTGTTTTCATTTTATTTCATATTCCAATTCAAGCCATCCCCCTCTGACAAAATGTTGCATTGTTGATTTGGGATGAAGATATATATGCACAAATATTGAAGTTTAAAGCTCAAGTGGCAGTAAAGGAAAATTCAGAGAATCCCTTCCAACAACACCAATTTTTGTCATGGACCATGGCATGCTTTGACTAAGATCGTGAATAGTAATGTTCTAGTATTGTCTAATCAAAATCATGACTTGTACCTCATTCATCTCGCTTTGACCAGTCAGGTCAGTTCATTTTCAGTTTGTAGAGTGACTGATACCCTTAAAAAAAAGACAATTAAGGATGATTTCTTCTTCTTAAAAACATTTTAAAACTTCTTTGTTATTTTGAAAACTTTTCTTGTATAATACGCATGCATCTGTGAGTTGATGAGCAGATACATACATAAAAAAAATTTAGTAGAAAACTAAAAATTGACTTCTGACTTCACGTCCCCCTTAGGGTTGTGCAGTAATTGAAACCTTTTTGGTACAGTGTGGGAGATATTCATTGCACAAAAATAGTGAAATGTCTGGCATAATATGTAAAGGTTGAGAGTTTAGTCAATAATTCAGATTAGCCCCGTAGACAGCAACACTTTTTTTTTTCCCCTTTGAATTTCGAGAGTGAAATATGGAATAGCCACAAATTGACCAATCAGAGAGAAGAATCAAGACTCGGCGATGTCATCCTGACTGCGAGGGGGACATAACATTGTAAACCATACGACTTGGGCACATGCTAGGCACATACACACTGGACCTCTGTGCTGTAGAAGTTGGGCACATGCTAGGCACATACACACTGGACCTCTGTGCTGTAGAAGTTGGGCACATGCTAGGCACATACACACTGGACCTCTGTGCTGTAGAAGTTGGGCACATGCTAGGCACATACACACTGGACCTCTGTGCTGTAGAAGTTGGGCACATGCTAGGCACATACACACTGGACCTCTGTGCTGTAGAAGTTGGGCACATGCTAGGCACATACACACTGGACCTCTGTGCTGTAGAAGTTGGGCTGGCCCAACTATAGCACTCTAGTAGGGACAGTCCCAACTATGGGCATTTTCAAAACGAGTGGATTCGGCTTAGAATTTGGTTTCGCTGGTTCCAGTCAGAGCTTGAACATGTGGTTTCCAGTGCTGGTTTGAAATAGCGGGAACCAGTGAAACCAAAGTCTAAGCCGAATCCAATCATTTCAAAAACACCCTGTAGTTGGGACTGATGCTGTATTCTGGGTGTAACAGGATTGACCACGGCGGATGACGAACCCCACAGTTCTGGGGGTAATGTCCATGGACCATGTGTGAGCACAAGTCGACATGCATGACAGGAGGGCTTCATACTCACTCTTTGCAGTTACTGGTATCTTCGTCTCACAACACATTCTGACATCTGTCATATTTGATAACTGTGGGGTTCGACGTCCGTTGAGTGTGGGAGCTCAGTGGACGACAAACTCCACAGTTCAAAGGGTAATGTTTGTTCTCTTGATCACAGACACTATTGGTATAGAATCACCATACCACAAACATGACAAAGCGACGGAGATCGGCAGCATCAAGTGATGCCAAAGAGTGTGAGGAGGAATCAACATCATCATCAACTTTTCATTTTCCTGTCAAAAGAAGGAAGAAGTCAGTGCAATCTCAAGACCCAGTGAGTACAGCCTTTTTCTCTTATTTTCAAGACGCTTGACCCTAAAGTCACATGACATTTTTACTATGAACTGTTCCCAACTCTCCAAATCCATCACTAGTCTGTAGTGGGCCCCAATGACACTTTAAGAAATGGTCACCCCATGATATCCAGTCCTCCTTACATGCTAATATTTTAATCTACTACAGGCGGAAATCATCCAAGAATTGTATGACACTATCAGGAACTATAAAACTGAAGATGGCCGGTTGCTGTGTGAAGCTCTGATTAGAGTGCCGAAACGAAGGTAGAATGGAACTTCCATTTACAAAACTTCAGCTATAGTCCTCAGGATTTTGCAGGCCTGTGCCAAATATCCGAATATTTGGTCGATTATTGAGAATTCAAATATTATTTTCCAAATTTGAATATTTAAATGCAAATTCGTGAAAAAGAAGGGAGAATTTTCTTTTGTTTTAAATGAGACAAACTGCACTATGGAGGCTTGTTTGGAGCACCTTCAAAAGAAAACTGACAGATATCTTACCACGATTGAAAAAGTAAATTATTCACTGAAATTTTAAAAGGAATAGAAATTTTCCACAGGGCAAGAAGTATTGTTTGTCTCTTAATCTTGTTGAATCGTGGCTAGTGATACTCCTAGACCTGAGAAGCTGTTATACTGATTATAATGTAGATTGTGTTCGTTATTGCAACTGATTTGGTATCAACAATCTGCTCGTCAGTAAGACCGAATATTCGGGTATTTGGTCGAATTGAAGGTTGAATATTCGAATAGTGAATAATTTGAATTGACTCAGCCCAAGGATTTTGTTTTAACATTTTTTTTTTACACTGCACAATCCACCTCAAGTGGGACCCAGAGAGGGTATAGTTTTGCTAGAATTGGAGGCTCCTTTGGTGGGAACTGCACTTCGCTGGTTCACAAACAACTATTAGATACAAGTGTTACAATTTTGTATGGCTACCAACAAAATAAACACTCCCCGTCGGCATGGCTCTTTTCAACCAATGAAGGAGTGCTTCTGCTCATGGTGGATAAAGTTGAATCCTTGCATAAATGTGCAGCTACATGTAGTTAACACTTTGGCTAATGTTTAAATTTCACCAGCTAACACCTTCTATACAAGCACTGTGGATAAACTTTATAGCATAAAGAATGCTTCCCGATATGATGCCATTACTATATAGACCATGGTAGCTATTTGTTTTCCAGAGGAGCACCAGAGTACTATGATGTGGTGAGCAGTCCCATTGACCTGCTGAAAATTCAACAGCGGATGAAGATGGAGGAGTATGATACAGTGGAACAGATGGAGACAGATGTCGAACTGATGATCAACAATGCATTGGCATATTATAAGGTAAACCATACTGCCAGTCACGGTGTACCTACATAATATCAGATTTCTGTTTCATTTGTCAGTTTTGAGGCAGACAGGTTACAATGAAAGTGTTCTGATTTAAGGTAACATAGCCTGTTACAGAATTATATTTGTTGGCATTTGTTAAAAATCATATCAAATTTTGTTTTCAAAATAAAGTTGGGTCAGGTAAGTTCACATTAAATAATAAGTACTTTAATGAAAGTTGGACTAATTTGAACTTCAGGGGTCATGCAGAGGTCTGATCGTTAATTTATAGAAAAGTTCCCAAGAGTACAAAGATGCGAGTGATATCTGGCGTCTCTTCGCTGGAACCAAACACCGTCTCCTAGATGATGACTCAACCACAGATGACACCAAGTACTTGAAGGAGATTGGGGAGTTTAGATTGGATAAGGAGGAAGAAGAGGTATAATAGGATAGAATGAGCCCAATTTGAAACATCAGAAGATGCCTTCAGTCCATGCAACAGGAGGTTGGGCATTGCCCAATTCTCAGCTATATCTTGGCCTTTGGTTTTAGACTTCAGTGTCATGAATTTAGGTTCCTGAGTTGAGAACCTCAAGCTCAGCTCTGCTCCATTGCCTACTCCGTCAACATCCACTTGTCTGAGATCAAGCTTTGAGGAATATTCATTGGGGCTCATGCAGTAATTTTGAAACTTGTAGAGGTCAAAATGAAAGCGAAAACTGAGATGAAGCAGAGATTGGGGAAAAGTCTCACCTCTCACTTCCAACTACGTTCACTGTTTGCCGTGGTTGGTTAGTGGTGGATTGCATACCCTACAGGTTAAATGATACCTGAGGTAAAGTTAGGCGTTCCATTGACCCTAGAGGTACAGAATCAGTAGAAGGCATCATAGTATATGGAAACCGTGTTGCTGTATCTCAGTATTAGATTTTAAACCTGTGGAAGTCTCCCTGAGACTTGTCCATTTCTGCCGCTGATAGTGTTTTGAAATAGGGGTTTCTTTTTGTCCTGTTTCATAAATCTTCAAATATTTATATAAATGAGTTACAAGGTCAAGGTAGAGTATTTGCCATTGATTCTAATCATCTGGGTTTATACGTGAACTTCCGAACAGTATCATATGATAGGTTTTCAATAAGAACAATGCAATATTCATGTCAAAGAGGAATCATATGGGTCATATTCCCCAAAGCGTTGTTACAATACACAGATTTGTTGCAAAACTGGGCCATTACAAATTCTTCAGAAGTACATTAAGACTATGCTGAAGGAATTCCGTAACCAATTATTAACTCCTTCGTGTAAGTTATTGTTTGGGCAAACCCTTTGCTCATTAACTCTCCAAAGTCCATGCCTGCCAGTGAGCTGTCTGTGTAACTAACTCTTTCCTAGCAGTCATATGAAGTGTTTGCGGATAGGGACCCGACTGATGTGACTGCAGTGGCTAGCTGCAGACAGCAGGTTGGATCAGGTCCGAGCACTGACCTGATTGGACCAGCCAGGCACCTGCGTGCTCACTGTTCAATCACTAGCGTACCTAGTGAGCTGCCATGTAAACATGAGGTAGTGTACGAGTCTTGTGGCATGATGTCCAACGTGATATTTGTTAATCCATTGTAGTATTACTTTCCTCTTTGTTAGATCTTTGTCGAGATCCTGGTCACTTTATTTTTGTAGAATAGTGAGTAGTTATGTCTCTGGTGAACACAGAGTTTCCTCTTTTTTTGGAAGCAACTTGATCATTTGCAATTAACTGAAAACTTACATGTACTGTACCTTGCAAATTAGCAAGGGAATTTTTTCTTTAAATGAAATCTTGGAATAATTTTAAAGCATAGAGCGTACTGATTTGAACAGAATTCAACAGCAGCAGTGTAGCTGAAGGGTTAGTGTTTCACTGAGCTCTGCGGATTTGTTAAATCCAAGCTTGCTGATGGATTATCAGTAGGTGTTAGGTCATCAGTAGTTGTGTAGGATACATGCATGCAAACTGTCGTAGACTGTTAAATTGAACAGTTTTCTTGAGTCTTTGACGTCACGTGTAAGCAATCATGTGTCTTTAGATTACGTTATGTCATCAGCATGAATAAATGTTCTGTATAATGCCATCCTACTCATGCAAATATTAGCATCATTTCTGTTCCATTCTTTTTCTTCTCAAATCCTCTCGTCCCTGCCCATCTATTTTGGTTAATTTTTCTCCACTTTCTCTCTTGTTTACCCATTTCATGGTGGTTCTGAGTTTCTTTTACAAATACTGAACATTTTCATCACCACATGCCAAATTCTGATTCATTAGTTTTAACTTAACCCTCTGGTCACAAGAAAGCTTGACAGAATTTCCTATTTTCCCTCTTTCCACATTTTTCCTTCATCTGATCAAGTTGTTCGTGTGTGTACTCACTCAAATATGGTGTACGTTTTACTGCCAGACCATAATTTTCCTATCCAGCAGGTGTTTATTTCTTCCCATGAACAGGATGGGGGAGTTGACTCCAATACATTCCATTACTAACACCCCTCACAAAAAAAAAGAAGCCTGTTTGGGGTTTTATAAAGGTAAACCTTATAAAGATGTTTGCAAATTTCAAACATTTCAGTGTCGAAAGAAGGTTCTTTAAAGTAACCTCTCGGTGGTTCCAACTGCCCCAAGGTTTGGTCAGTCCAAGCGACATTCGTCATCGAAAGAGAATGACATGGATTTCTTAGTGCCTTTTTTTACACTGTATACCTGTGTTGTCGTATGTCTCAGCAACCTTCTCAGGAAGAGGTCAAAGGTCAGGAAGAAGAAGAAGAAGAGGTCCAGGAGCTAAAGGAGTGTGAGTTTGCCATGGAGAATCCTTGCGATCCCCTAGAGCAACTCTTCACAGCCGTCATGGCCCAACGAGAGGAAGACACCGACAGGAACATCAGTCTGATCTTCCGTAAGCTGCCGCCAAGGTCCCAGTTCCCTGACTACTACGATATCATCAAGAACCCCATTGACATGAAAGTGATCGCCAAGAACATACGGGTACTGTGGTGCAGTTGATAATCGTTGAATGTTTTAAGATGAGTTTAATATGCAGTGAGTGCCAATACCTGGATGAGTGTGTGGTCTTGTAGGCTCACAGGTTCTATCATTTCAACATTTGTCATCAGGAGTTGCTTCCTGTATGTCTTTGTTGTGTAGATCTTCATTGTCTGCTGTATCAGAAAGAGTAATACCAGTGTAGCCGGGTACCAGTGAAGTCAGAGTTTTTGTCTTCTGGTGCACTGTGTACAGAGGGCATTTGCAAAGTACAAAGTATGTAATTTGTTGTTCTCTTTTTCTTCCTGGACATTTTGACTCTAGTCTGGTCGCTACGCCTCCCTGAGTGACCTGGAGAAGGACTTGTTACTAATGGTCAAGAATGCCAAGACATTCAACGAGCCAGGATCCCAGGTCTACAAGGATGCCATGGTACTGAAGAAACTGATTACCAGCACCAAACAGGAGCTGGATAGAGCTATCAGGATGGGTGAGATGGCCAGGTCAGTTGATTGAAAATGCCTCATTGTCCGCCACTGCAGGCTCTTTGAGTTTCTTTTTTCAAAGGCAATCAACCCCATCTTTGTTAAATGCAACAGAATGCCACAGTGGTAAAAAGTCGTTGTTTAGCTGGGAACGCACGTGGAAGAGAACATTGTGTAACTTTGTGTGACTTCACAGGGTGTTTGTAGAGTGTTTACTGTATAGTGCCACAGTGAAGAGTTTCTCATTTCAGCTGTGTCACGTTCTGCTGAATTAGTAGGGTCCTTAGAGAGAAAGTTGTGAGGGTTAGGGTTCATGCAAATTTCACAATTTTAATATTCAACGACTGATGTAGGGGTTAATAGTATGGTTTTGAAAGTTTACTATGGAGTAGCTTGATGGGCTACTGGAGAATGAAACTTGTTGTTGACAAAGAAAATTTCAGAATTTAAAAATAAGCCTGTGACCTGTCTGAGATCACGAATTATAAATCTTGGTTTGGTTTATTCCTGATGCAGTAAGACAGCACCACCTGTCAGGGGTGAGCAGAAAGAATCCGCCATCCAGGTGGCAGCCAACCTGCCCTCAGATGAAGACGAAGACGACAATGAATCACTGAGTGCCATGCAGTACGAGGAGAACGATGAGGAATCCGGGGCTGAAAACTTCCTAGCCAACTCCAGCGACGCCAAGCATGTGCTGTTCAACACAGTGCTCAACGCCAAGAACTCCCTGGGGCAGCTCCTGTCAGAACCCTTCATGAGACTCCCCATCAAACGTTTGTATCCAGACTACTATGAAGAGATCCTACATCCCATGGCGCTGTGTAAGATCAGGAGTAAACTCAAGGTAACTCCGTTTCTTTTTATCCTAAGGGGGTCAGGTTGTTAACTCTTTTCACACTGTGAGGAGAGGACAGGGCTGATCTCCCCCTCCCTTCATCAGCTGACTCATAACCCTTGGTTTCCTGCAAGGTAGATAATTGAGGAAGATACCGGCAGCCATGAGTCAGGAATTTGAGGTAATGTGTCATTGTTTTGATTTTGGTTCTGATGCTGGGAGTTCTCTCGATTGAATCTCTGGAATGAATTAAAACAAAGCATGGGTGTTATACTCATTTACAGACATCGTTTGGTTCACATTTATCTCTGACATTTAACACCGCATGATTTTCATTATCAGTGATTCTGATTTTCTTGTTGTGAATCTGCAGATGGATAGATATGAATCCCTAGCTGAACTAGCCCAAGACTTGGACCTCATCTTCAACAATGCTAAGCATTACAATCTCCCAGCATCAAGACTTTACAAAGATGCCGAGAAATTGCAGAAGATGATGAATACTAAATACAAGGAGTTGGAGAAAATGGAATCCAAGGTGACTTGTTTCTCTAGAATATGATTAGCTGAAAAAAGTAGCCATTCACAGGTTTTTTAAAAAACTAATAGCATATAAGAACACCAAAATGTGTTACGTCCATACTTTTCTTGTCTTATGCCAAACACAGAGTATCCAGTGTAATTTTGGTGAAACCAGAAATCATCACGCAGTAAATCAATTCATCAAGCTGTGAACCAGTCAGCTACACTGTATGTTGTAAGCTATTTAGCTGGTAACCATGTGACCTGATCTGATTGCAAGTCCAGGCAATACTAAAGTCAGACAGACGGTTGTAGTAAAATGAAGAGCCACATAAGAGGTCACATGATCATATTTCCTCACACCCTGCAGGGAAGCACTTTGGATATAATTGATCCACCTTGGGTGCTGCTAGGAGTAATACTCCGCCTGCATTTCCAGTTGCTCCCTATGATGCTAGACCTCTTTGTTTTGGTTTTGGCAGAGAGATACCGAGAGTGATGATGAGGAGAGTGATCGAGGCAGCAGCAAACGCCGTAGGAGCAGCATCAAGAAGTGTACAGACGTTGACTCCGATTTGAAGGCGCGCATGCAAATAGTGTATGACACACTAGTGGAGTACCAGGTCAGTTAAATCAAGCACTGGCAAGGTTGTCAGAAATTTGATTTCAAATCGTCAAATTTTGATATACATCTCTTAGAGTGCAGTAGTTTTCTTGATGATTTGATTGGGTGTTTGTCTTCCACAGCTGTTATATTTTGTAAGCCCACCATACTCGGTACTTTCAAAGAGTATTTGAGAGGAACCTTCATAATCTGGTTTTGGGAAATCGTTGAAATATTTGCGTGTATCTTTTTTCAAATACTAGTAAGTATCATAAATTTATCACTTTACGAGCCAGGCTAAACAATCCTGACTAGCTGACTTGTATTTCTGGATTTTGATCAATCTCAACTTCCTATATCCTTTGAAATTCACCAGGAGGTTTTGTAGGATTCAGGCATTTAGGAAGGTAGATTCCAGCCACCTGTTACTTGACATTGTGTTTGATATGATGCTCTTGAAAATAATAAAATAAAGAGCTTGCTGATTTTCTGAATGGTGACAGATTTTAGCAGAAATTTTGAGGAAATGTCTTTACTTTGTCCTTCTTTTGGTAGAAAAGTTTGAAGGTATCCCTTAAAAAAATCTTGTTGACACTCATGTATTTCATTGTTGCTCTGTTAGGATAAGGATGGACGGTACCCCATCACACTGTTCATGGAAAAGCCATCCAAAAAGCTGTATCCAGATTATTACCAGGTGATCAGTGAGCCCATCGACATGAAGACCATTGAGATCAACATCAAGACGGATAAGGTGAGGATGTGGGTGGGGGGGACTTAGACAAGAAGGGGTGGGACAAGAAACAAACAGGTGGGAGAATAGCAAACTGGTCGAGGGATACGTTTTAAGGGAGTAAAAAAAAAGTAAAAAGAGTAAATCTGAACAAAGTAGAAAGTTTGTTGTGTGGATGTGACATTGTGGAAACTATTTTCAGTATATGAAAAAGTGGCACAGCCATTGATTTGTATCCCATGTGCAATATTTTGCCCTCAGTACGTGCAAGAGGAAATGATGGTGAGTGATTTTGACCTGCTCTTCAACAATGCCAGACAGTACAATGAAGAGGGATCAATGGTCTATGAGGATGCCAACTTTCTGGAGAGGCTCCTCAAAGACAAGTGTCGCGAGCTAGGCTTCGCAGTGACAGGTATCAAACTTTAGCCTGAAAATAAAGTCTTTTGATATTACTCCACAAGAATTGTTCAGAGATAAAGCTAGATCCAGCCCTGTATTAATGTACATGTGGTTGTTCAGTGGAAAAAATCAATTTTGGATTTGGAAATAGAATTTCTCTGAAAGTTAAAAATCCTTGTTTTCACGCCGAAGAAGCTTGTTTGTGATTCAGTTACGTTCAGATGTTGCCTCTTGTATTGATTGGATGCAGTGTTCCTTGCATCAAAACCCAATTTTATAACCAAAGGTCTCACCATTCTGGTTGTCCAATCAGTGCCAGCAATGGTCTCTTGTGTTTCAGAGGTCAGCAAGGGTGCCAGCAAGACCAAGACCACACCCGTGGACCCACCAAAGCGACTCCCGTCTAAGAGGCCTCGGTCAATGGCCGGCATGACTCCATTAGAGCAGAAACTCAATGACCTGTACGGAACCATCTATGACTACACAGACTCCAATGGCAGGGAGCTAGCTGCCCCATTCATCAGACTACCAACCAAAAATGTAAGGCATTATAAATCATGGAGGGTTTTCATGAGGAACCATGTTAGGGGGCATGGCAGTGCTGTGTGTCACATGACTGAGCCTTATAAACACTTCAACAATCTAAATTCTGTTGACTGTAAGTCAGATTCCAATGTGACCCAAGTGGAGTGTTTCTGTTATAACTGCTCTTTCCTAATAATGGAACCAAGAGTTGGTTGCTAATATCCTAGGTTGATTAATTTACTTACAATCAGGGCAGTGTTTTGGCCCAAACTTTATTACGTTTTCTCTTTTTCCTTGCTGACTTTCAACGAAATCCAACAGCAGCAAAGTATGCAGTCTCCTGAATCGTGTGGATTACAACAGCCATAACAAAAGCTGTTGTTCTTCTCTCGAATCACCAAAGGCCATTAGACGTTGCCCACTGTTGTCGTTACGTGAATATTGAATTTGAAAGAAAAGACTTAGGACTGCTGAAGCCATTGGAGTAATTGTGGCAAAGTTCCTTCCCTTTGGACTCTGAGACTAATATTCACTGATTAATTTTCAACCACCAAAAAGATCCTGTCATGTTATATATGTCTGATGTTATAGCCATAAGTCCACATTGCTCAAATTCCAAACCAAATAGTGAAAACTGTAAAAACTGTTATCATTTGCAAAAAGGAAAATACCCTGTGAATAAAAATGCTCTTTTTAACATCAACCCTAATTGGAACTATTTTTTGCTGCGTAGGAATACCCCGAGTACTACCAAGTGATCAAGAAGCCAATTGACATGCAGAAGATTCAGCAGCGTCTGAGTGCCAAGCAGTATGAACAGTTGGACGACATGGTCACCGACTTCTTGCTCATGTTTGACAATGCTTGCAAGTTCAACGAACCTGATTCCCTTATTTACAAGGTACGAAGCCATGGACTCCTCCCATGAAGTGTCAATCAAGCTGTTGGGCAAATCAGATGAGCCATTGAATAATGTGTTATGTGCAAGCTGAGTTACAGGTGCTTATCATGCAGAATGTGCATGACCAACTTTCAGCGGAATGTACACAAATTGTGCTGCATTTTTGACTAATGCGAACCCATCTGAGTGTTGATGGAGACAGAAATATTATACACACATGAGTATGTCCGTTGGTAACTAATTTACTTGTTTTTTTTTCAACGTGAGGCATACTGCAGCTTGTTTTTTTATGCCAATGTTAAAATTCCCTAGATTTTGTTTTCTTCATTTTTTAAATGTGGGCATTTTTGGATAATCCTGAATCAGTAATTATTCGCTTGGAGTTTTCAGTTTCCACATTTTTTCTAAGTCACACAAATACTTCCCAGTTTCCTTCCCAGGATTTGCCAATTGGTACAGAAGTCAGTAATGGTGCATGGTTTGTCTGTTTGTCTGCCTGTCTGACAGGATGCCCTGACTCTTCAGCGTGTCCTCCTCCAAACCAAGTCAGAGCTGATGGGCGACGAGACCTCGGGGATGCCAGACATCCAGAGCACAGTGCGGGAGATCCTGACCAATCTCTTTGTCTCATTGGCCAATCACCAAGACGAGGAAGGCAGGTGCTTCAGCGATTCGCTGTCGGAGGTGCCCCCAGTGAAGGAGGAGCTAGCAGTCACAGGGGAGGGAGAGACACAGCCTCAACTGTCCCAACAGTAAGCAAGCCAAGTCGTTAACTTTAAACCCAAGTACTGTTCTAGTCCTTTTTTTAATCCAATTAAGATATCAAAATATGAGGTAGTACACTGCAATCTTGGTGTGATTCAGTAGACCTGAGGGTAATATCAGTCATGTGGTTTATGTTTTCAGGAAACCTAAGGACTTAGACACCCTAAGGAGGTATCTTGACAAAGGCTGCTACCGCCGTCTGGATTGCTTTCAAGATCATATCTTTGGAGTCCTTGAAAGAGCTCGTAACTTGAGCCGGACAGACTCACAGGTTGGTGTCTGATTTACATTTGGGATTTTCTAACTGGAATTTTGGTCACTGAAGTTTGTGCAGATTCTGTAAAGTAGTTAAAAGGTTCACCATGATAGAGTTGATTTGTACTTTGAATTGTACCAAATGTGGAGCCTGTATGTCATTGTACGTAGGAACAATCCTCTTTCCAAAAGATCATGCCATTGAAAAGTTTTTAGCAGCGAAATATTTATATCAGTAGTATATTCAGGTAAAAAGGTTTTGATTTGGATTGCGATAGAGAGTCTTAGTTGGTTTTCAAGGACATCGCAATTTCAAGAAATTGTATTTTGAGTGAAAAATTCCAGTAATTACCCATCACCATTTTCAGTCCAGTGTTTACGGAAGAAATATCCATTTTCAATCTCATATTCATGAACAAATGTAAATGGACAATTGATAGCCTGATAGATGTTCTTACCTTGGACTCTGGCAGGTGTACGAAGATGCCATAGAGATGCAAAGATTCTTCATCAACATCCGGGATGAGATATGCAAGAACGGAGAGATTCTACTGTCCCCTGCCTTGAGCTACACTCACCGACACATGCAAAATGACATCGAAAAACAAAAAAAGGACAAACTTCCTAAAGAGGTTAGTTTTGGCTTCGTGGTCAGTTAACCTAGAACTGCAGAACGAAAAGGTTGAAACTACCGCTGTCTCCATTTCTGGACACCAAGTGGATGCTAACTGCAGTGATACTTGGAAGTTTATATTTTCAGAACATCTGTGCCAGGGATGGATCACAGTCTGTACACGCCAAGTTGTCGTGTTTAAATTGACAAATGCAAGCAGGTGGTGTAAAGGCACTTTTGGCACGCAGGTCAGGGGTCAAATGACAACCCTTCTATAATATCAGGTACCTAATACTCTGTGATGTAATCTGTGTGCTATCAGAGACAGCATTTTGCCAGCTGTCACTCAGAAAAACATGAGGCAGTGAGTTTGGGCAGTAGTTGATACGTCTCAGCCAAAAACGAAATATTTTTCAACCTTACTTCTGTCAATAGAGTTACGGACAGAGCCCAATCAGTGGATGATGCAATAACATCATGACTGTGTATGAATGATGATTTCAAACTGATTGTGGTTAATTTTGATTTGCTTTCTATTTGACAGATGAAAGAAGATGCAGAGAAGAAGGAAGAAGAAGCCAAACAGCTTCAGCAGGATGTGACAGGAGGAGATGGGAAAGATGCCCAGGAGATGAATGAGACAGAGGTAGAGCTAACACTGTCAATCTTGCACTGGTACCCTGTTAGGATGGTTCACTAGAGATACTGTGAAACCATGAGGTGAGAATTGTGTGATTGCACAGTCTTGAACCATAAAACCGTCTTTAACCCTCCTATGCTGAAGTTACTCTTTGGGTCAGTTGGTAAGCTGGACAAAGAAGCACAGTTGTGTCGTGTTGTGCACTGCACCAACTGTCCCCCACAGGAAGATCAGATTGCACTTTTGTGCTGCCCAACAACTGTGCTTCACTGTTTCATTTGCATAACTGTGTAGTAAACCAAATGCAGTGAGGAGGACTGCACAAAAGAGCCTGTGTCATCTTGTGCTAGCAACCGACTGTATGCACATTGAAGCTGTGCATGTTTGTGTTCCATAAAGAAAACATAAGCACAAGAGTGACTCTGGGCATTCATGCATTTTTGTGCTATGAAACCATAAGAGGGTTAATGTGAATTAGATGGCCTTTGCCCTGTGGAAGGGTTTCTTATTCTCTGATTATTCTGTCTCTCAGATTGAAGGTCTTGGTTTTAGAAGCAAGATTAACATTTTGGGATGCTGAAGGTCATGTTGAATTTAACTAAATTTTCAATTTGTGGCTTTGCAGGCAAGTAATGGCCTTATTGTTAATGGACAGACTTACAGAGTTGGAGACTTTGTCTATGTGGAGCCAAGGTCAGTATCTTTGTTTTTCAAGTGGAGTAGTCTTTTATCTGTTGACAAGTATTTTTCCTCCCTTTGCCCTGTAGTTCTACAAACCAGTATTATTAACATGTCATTGATTTTGGCTCCGTGTTTTTGTACTTCGCAACTTTTGAAAATGCACCCTTATCCCGATTTCCATTCCACCAAATTTGTGTCAAGGCAAAATTAATTATATTCACAATCAGTTGAGTCATAGAATACAAATTAACACTATTCGTAAGTCTAACTGGTTTCTTTTTTTTGGATACCAGCGAGAAGAATCTGAAGCTACACATTGTTTGCATCGAGAAGCTTTGGAGCGATCCAGACGGAGAATGCTGGCTCCATGGCAACTGGTATCTAAGACCCAATGAGACGTTCCATTTGGCCACTCGCAAGTTCCTTGAAAAAGTATGCACAAACACAACAATTTAATCCAATATCAACTTAACCTGAATTGTACGATTAAGGAGTTTAGATCAATACAGGAAAAGTGATTAACCAAGAAACTCTGACCCATTTCAAAACTTTGGAAAAAATGAATATATCATATTGTAAACAGTGACCTTATATTGTCACAAAACATTTGTTCAGCACAGGACTCTAATAAATAATATTATATCACTTTGGGGTGTGTATGTTTCATTTATTTGCTTATAAAAAAGTTTTACCTTTCCAACCACATGTTTTGTTGATGTTTTCACCACTGAAAAGGTTAAAATTTCATTGTGGAAGAATAAAAACTCATGTTATATTTTGAAGGATGTTTTGTGTCTTCTGCCATTGTCGATGTCATTGTACCACATTTCAGGAAGTATTCAAGAGTGACTATTACAACAAGGTGAAGATCTCCCAACATGTCGTAGGCAAGTGTCACGTTATGTCCGTCAAGGATTACTTCAAGTACAAGCCAGAAGGCTTTAATGAGGAAGATGTCTACACGTGTGAGTCTCGCTACTCAGCCAAGGCCAAGGCATTCAAGAAGATTAAGGTGAGTAATAGGTGTGAGATTTTACTTTGAGTGCTGACACTCAAGATACTCAGAAATACTCAGAGATGGAAAAAGTTGTTAGCTATCTTCAGTTTGAAAAAAAAAACTGCCTGCTTTTTTGGCCTTTTTTTTTTTTAAATCATAAGGAGTTCAGGGAGTTTTTTTTCCAGATTTCACTTTTCTAAAAAGTCTCTTTTCAACAAATATCATTTTCTGAATGGAATGTTTCATTTCAAAACCTTTTTACAAATTACTTTCAAGGAATTCATGGTTTATTACTCACCTTTTCCTATGTAAATGGTTTGTAAATCTTTATTATAGCAGAACATTAGTTAGGAAAAATTCCTCTTGGGAAATAATCATCAAAGTTTTACACTTTTGACAATATATTTACGATGTGGTTGGCTCACAGTGTGCTTTCTTTTTGTTCAGTAAAATTTGTTAAACATCTGTAATTTATCTTTGCTCACAGATCTGGGCCATGCCTCCCAGTAATGTCAAGATTGTTCCTCGTGATGAACCTCTGTCTCGTGTCCGTATCGCTTCCGTCTTTGCCGATAGTCAGGGCATCGAGCCCGCAGACTCGGACAACACTGATGGAGAATACCAAGTCTTTGAAAAGGAGAGAGAGGTAAGATTCAGACTAGTGGTGTGTCAACGTTGCAAATTACTGATGGGTCATCATCAAAACGCTGTCTGGTTGACTTGAATGATCATCGGTTGATACAGAGATGGAAGGAACTGTTGATGACATGGTGTGTCCATGGATTGACACATAAAATGCCCATGTGGAGCCCGCATGTGGTAAAAGGTTGACCCAACTATTTGTGAACTGCATATAGACAGACCACAGCATGTGAAGCATAACAACAGATCCATTGTATGGAATTTCAGGCTATTCATGGTGAAGGACAGTAACAGGTGGAAAGGCTCGCGGTAGCACCATGTGAAGGAATATATCTCGCTTATGACTGTGTGTGGTTCTGAAAAGAACCGGGAGTATACTCAACGTTTCGGACTGCGTGCTCAGTCCATCGTTAGGAGACTGAAGAGATGCTGAAGATGGGGCTGTACATATAGGTTGGCTGGATGCAGCGGGGTGTGACAAGGATGCTGGTGGTGGGACCTCATGCAGGACAGGGTACCGCAAGCCTTTCCACCTGTTGAGATCCATCGTAGTTGTGGACAGTAGCAGTTGCATTTTCCTAGATTGACGGTAACGTTTCGCCTTTATACTTCTAAGAAGTTTATTTGGAATGAAGTCAGTGAACCGAAGAACTGACTCAATTTCATAATAAGAAATTTCGTAGGACACATTTTAAAAGTGTAACCCTGTCAATGCTTAATAGGGTACAGACTTCTAAGTTTCTCTAAGCAAAGAAAATTGATGAATTATGAAATACTTGGTTCAAGTCTCTTTGTCAAGTAACTTCTGATTGTTTGGCGTGAATTTTTCTTCGTTTTTTGACTCTTGGTTGTTTTACAGGATGTTGTCGTTGAATCACCCACAGATGATGAGAAATGGGTGTACTATGAACAGCTGAATTTTGAGGGGCATGTTTACAAACTTGGAGACTGTGTGTACCTGAGGTCTGATCAGGCTAGACCATTTGTCGCTCGCATTGATAAAATGTGGAAGGATGGCAAGTAAGTTCTTGATGTAGACCACAAATATTCCCCAAAGTTGGTTGATGTCAACAGAACTGTTTCAGGATGGAAGAATAGGTAGTATATTCATCACAAAATGAAGCTTTGCTCAAACCAAATTTCCTTCCTCTTTCTTGGTTAATCAAACTGGAAAATATATTATAACTTGTTGAAATTTACTAAACTTAGCCAAATTTCTGAAACCTGCCCTGAAATTCACAAATCTCTCTGAAAATGGAGTCTTCAAATTGAAAATTCCCAGACTTTCTTCCAACTGTTTGCCCAGATAAGGTACCTGGTCTTGATTTACTGTTCAATTGTTTCCTTCATCAAATTTGATCAAGGAATTTCTAGGAAATGTTTCTTTTTGATTTAATTTTATCCCAGTATGCCTGTAAAAAAGTGGAGAAATAATAATTTCCGGTTTTTTTTTTCTTGCTTTTGGCAGTGGAGACCCTTGGTTCAACGGCCCATGGTTTGTGCGACCATCTGAGACGGTACATCCACCAACCCGTCTATTCTATAAGAACGAGGTCTTTTTGAGTTCCATTGAAGACACCAACCCGATGCGCAGCATTTGTGGCAAATGTCACGTCATGCTGTATAAAGATTACATCTCCAGTGAGTAATATACAGAGAAGTCAATGTTTGTCAGGTAACATGCACAGTCTGCTGTTAGCAGACAAACCGTTATTGTCTTGAAGTGATGTGCAATTGTGGTTTACTTGAAATTGTCTCTTGTTTTTGTGGAGGTGGTGAATGCCATTTGCAAGGAGTTGGATAGTAAGCCAGTTATGATCTTTGTTTGGAATAGGGTTTCAAACTCCAACAGGGAGACTCCCAAAAGTCGGAACTGTTCATTTTGCAAAGGACTCTTCCCATTTGAGCATTAGCATTTCATTGGAACATTTTTGCATTTTGCTGGGAATTTTGTGTTGCAAGTGAAACAGCCGCCCAGTCTAGAATGAGAACAAAGCATTCCAGATTGGAATGGACTGACTAAATGGCCGCACACTGTAGAATGAGAGCAAAGTGTTTCAGATTGGAATGGACTGACTAGAACGGCCGCCCATTCTAGAATGAGAACAAAGCATTCCAGATTGGAATGGACGGACTAGAACGGCCGCCCAGTCTAGAATGAGAACAAAGCGTTCCAGATTGGAATGGACTGACTAAATGGCCGCACACTGTAGAATGAGAGCAAAGCGTTCCAGATTGGAATGGACTGACTAGAACGGCCGCCCACTCTAGAATGAGAACAAAACATTCCAGATTGGAAAGGACTGACTAGAACGGCCGCCTACTCTAGAACGAGAACAAAGCGTTCCAGATTGGAATGGACTGACTAAATGGCCGCACACTGTAGAATGAGAGCAAAGTGTTCCAGATTGGAATGGACGGACTAGAACGGCCGCCCACTCTAGAATGAGAACAAAGCGTTCCAGATTGGAATGGACTGACTAGAACGGCCGCCCACTCTAGAATGAGAACAAAGCATTCCAGATTGGAATGGACGGACAATTCTGAATTATCAGATGCTCTGTTAAAGCTCATGAAATCAGAAATTATTTGATACCAGAGTAGCTATATTTCCTGTCACCACAAATCATAACTTTTTTACTGGAATACTCTTAAGATATAATTTTTGTCACCATTAAAAGCCCTTGTCCTTGTCCTTGTTCTTGTTCCATGTGACAGGTCGCCCAACAGAGTATGCTGAGGAGGACATCTTCGTCTGTGAATCCCAGTATAAGGAGGCAGAGAGGCAGATACGCAAGGTCAAGAGCCTCAAGCGCTATTCCGTCTCCAACAAAGTGGTCGATGATGAGGTCTACTTCTTCAAGAAGCCCATCACCCCTATTAAGGAGGCATCTCCTCTACTCCAGCTGGCCTCAGAGAACAGCGAGGAAGGCGAGATAGAGAAAGAGAAACCAGGACTTGAGGAAGATGATGATAAGACGGTGATACTGACTACAGAGGAGGAGACGGAAACAAGTACTGCCGTGGCAACGCCGAAAGGAGCAGCTAAGGTTAGTGTGATATCCTAGTGGGACACTTTCACCTACCCTACTCAAACTGAAGAATAATTGGGTTGTTTTCCAAGGTGATCCGAAAACTTCTTGCATGTGGGGACTATTGTAGAAGATCTCCTTGCAGTGTGATGTGTCAATATCAAAGCCATCAGTCTGTGCCTTTATTTCAAAGGGGTTTGCTCAGAAAGTTCTGGTGACAGTGCAGTCAAAGTTCTGTTATACCGTAGCTTCTTATGTACAGGATTAGAAAGACAAGAAATAGTAGTATCTATTACTACCAAACCTCACAAGAAGAAGGTTGCATGCAGTGCAGTCTTCTGGGACATTGGCAGAATGGTTTCATGAGGGCCAACAATGCAGGGTTGTTGACTTGAGTTGCTAATTTGGACTTTTGGACTGGAGACTTGACTTGGGGAAAAAATAACTTAGCTGCAATACTGCAATAGTGTAAAGATTGGTTTCTGTTGAGAATTTCAGTGCTCGTTAATGCAAGAAAAAGGCAGCATTAGAAACAAAAATGCTTCAGTTTGGAACACATGTGTACTAAACAAACACAAAGACATTATTTTTCTGTTCAACATTTCGTTTTTTTTCAAGATATTAACAATTTATGCAAGGTCTCTTGTGAAATGGCTTCTTGTAGACTCGTGATAAGGATAGGATGTGAAATTGATAAGATGCTAATTACATTGACTGTGTTGTTTGACATTTCACACAGTTCAACATGAACTTTACAAAATTATTTACCTGTTCAGCCAAGGACTTTCCGTTATGTATACAACCCTTTGGTGCAGTGCTACAGTTTATGTAAGACTTGAAAGTAGTGTAGAGATTTCGTCATAGCTGTTTCATATGCTTACTTCTTTTACCTTGGAGCTACATGTTGGCCCAAATCGACAACTTTACGTACCTCAGGATTCTGTATGTGTGACCCTATGTTGTGCTAGCAACACTGATATACTATGCCAGTCTTTGAAATGCAGAATCTTTTGTTATGGGATGTTTAAATTTTAAAGCACAGTTCAAAATTCCTTATCTGTGGAAGAATTTCTGCGGAATAAACATGTACTTACAGAACCAGGAAGTAGAGATTTTTTGTCCATGGCAAATAGTCAGTTAGTACGACCTTTATCACTGCATCAACCTTGATGCCTTTCATGTACCATTTCTGTTTTTATTTTTCTATTTGGGTTTTGACTTGGATAACTAACTTCTTGCCTTTTGATGGGTCTTTTACTGTTTTCCTTGACGGGAAAAAATTAGTAACATTTGCTGAGACAAGATGTTGCTACTGGTACCTCAAATAATCTGTCTTGTGGATTTTCTTTTCTCACCCAATCATTCCTCAGGGGAAACTGACAAGTTTTCACTTTTAATCAATATGAAGTTAAACAGAATAAATTGACTGGAGTAGGATTTGAACCCAGTACGGATGGAATGCAACACCGGCACTCCATGGGCCTGTTTGTTTCATACAGATCTGGATTGGTGGTTTCGGCTGTTCCATTAGGTAGGTTCCAGAGTCAGTGAACCAACGAAGGATCACTGGTCGCGATCCGGATCTGCGTGAATCAAACAGGCCCTACTAGTGGAGCTGTACATCTTTGTACTGCTGTGTTGGCCAGAAAACACCAATTTGGTTTCATTCTGGATCCTGGATCCTTCTGCAATCCGGTTGGTCTTGTGTTCAAATCTTGCAGCTGTCGAGTGTCTTTGGTTAAGTTCCTTTTCTTTCACTTATTTCAAAGACAGTTTGGTGACTTTTGACTTGTCGATCTGTTCAAATAGAGCTAAATCCAATGGCTTCCAACAGAAAAGGGTGGTGAGTTCAGTTAAGTCTGATTCATCATCACCAAAAATGGAATGGGATTCAGACTTTGATGAGGTCCAGTGCAGTCTTTAAAAAACTCTTACTTGTAAAAAATTGTTATCTGCTCCGAGCGGAACAGAACAGGGCTTTTTTGGGTACTCACCGCATAGGTGCGCCATGAGGCGCGCAAGTATATGCGTGTTTGACGTGGAGCACGCTGAGTACACGTAACTAATTTATTCCAGCATGTATGGTCTTTGCGTACAAGCAGAACACATGCAAAAATGCACTTCTACACACCTGTCTTTCTTTTGCCAATTGGGGGTGCACTTCAGCTCGGGGTGGATTCTATAACTGGACCTCCTTTGTAAATCTCTTCCAAAATTTGAGGCCACCTTGAGGTTGCTTCAGTTTCTGGTAGGGGGGTACTCATTTCTCACAGAATTCTTATTCATTATTGGGAGAACTTTTGTCTTCTATTATGTGTGCGTGTTTCTCTGAAGTCCATAGCAGTAGTTGTCCTTTTGAATGTTCCTTCAAAGTTATGCACCAAATCATACCTGCAGAATGCTCACAGTAGTCACCGGTACCCATGTTGTCCAAGCAGCATGAGTTCATAGTGAGTTTTACTGTCTTTCAGGTTGGGAAGGCAAGCACTAGCAGTGATCCTCGGTCTGCGAGTAGCCAGAAAGTGGTAACCAACTAATCCTTTCCTTGGTTACGACCCAACACTCTTATCCTTGCATATTCACGGATGTTACCAAACCAACGTTCACCAGCATTTAACTTGCTAACTTGATTACACCCTAATAACACTACCAGGACTGATTGTAATCTTGTAGACACTACTGATCAACATCTTGGTACCCATCAAGAAAATCTTCCATTGAAGTATAAAATTTTATTATTGTGCCAAGGAGTAGAAACAGTGCGCTATACATTGTGCTGGAAAACATTTATCTCGAAGAAATCACTGTTCAATCAATAGTCTGCTTTTTGCACATAATTATTCATCAGGCATCCTGTTCGCCCTATTTTTCTATTCTTTATTGTTTTCATGCCGCACTAGCTACAAATTCACCTCAGCCTTGATCTTATCATTACATGCTCGTAAAACTTTCTATTTATCACTGCGCATCCAAAACAAAAAGGTGAAACAACGTTGTGCCTAATACAGGAACAACTTTTCGCATGCAGCTGTTGACTTTTTCCCATGATGCACTGCAGAAAGGGCCTCTCCATGGCAACCACACACAGTTGGCAGTGCATTGTATTGTGAATTGCACAAGTAATAAAATGAGGCAGTCTCCCCCCAAAAAAAAAACTATATTGAGACCCGATGGCACAAATCACTTTTTCTACTCTGAGCCAGGTAAAAGCCTTCAGTTCATTTCACTCTTCCTCCTTGATTACTTCTAACTGGGCACCAACCTGATCAAATTGGTTTTCTTTTAACTCCAAAGGCTTTGACCTCTCCCCCATCAAGGGCTACTATACCCAGCATGTATCATGGTTGTGTCTCATGACCACCTTGGTAACCTCTGCCTTAGCTAGCATGAACTCATTTCCTCTTGACTCTCCTCATCACTTGCTATGGCTTCAAACATGTCCTCACCAAACTCTGCTGTGACATATGTGCATGTGGACGCGTTGTTAACCTTCTTGGTCAATTGACCTCTACACCTGTCCAGCTTCCATTAATCTTTATTGCCTGCCCTGCAGTGCTAACGGAGAACAGGAATCAAATTCATTATGTCCACCTCAACTCTATGTTTTGTCACTAGGAATTGTAATTGAACTATGAGGTAAATAAATTTCATAAGTATAGGTACCTAGATGTATAAACCTTTTGGGGGGTACAGTTTTTAAGAAGTTCTTATGCACAGGTGATTTTTCTTCCTTGATTATACAAAATGTACTCCCTGAAACAAGCACAAGTAGCCAACTTTTATGACATTGATGTGCATGTAGTAATATGAATAAAGTACACGTCCTTATTTTTCTTAAAGTTAATCAGTGCCCACATGTACATGATCTGTATTTGTGCACTTCTTGCGTGACTACAAAGTTAACCTAAGTTAGAGTGTGTTTGAGTTGTCGCAGCCTACATGTATCAAAATACTTAACCTTAATCTTTGGACACTTAAACTTCAAAGGTGAGAGGCTGGTGCCATTTTCTTCATGTTTGTGCAGAAAATTTTCAATTAAGGTTTGATTGCAGAAGTACAAAATAGTTGTCGCTGTCATTTATAGCATAAAACCTTTTGTTACTGGTTATTGTGCTTGTCTTGTCTTAAAAATTGCAAGTTAAGTGCAATCAGGTTGGGCTTTCAAAAAAGCCCACTAGTGCTACATATTGTACATCCTGCAATGCAAAACTCATTGGTCATCACCATGAATGATGAAAGGGCACCAACCAAGGCTAGAGTACCAGCCTCTGAAACATGATTAATGAGGGCAACAAGGGGGCAACATTTCTAAGAAGTGATCCTATTTCAGCTGCAGTAGACCCCATAGGGATGAAGTCAGTACACAGTGGTGTTTGGTATGCAAGTACGCTAGGCTGGAAGATACAGACCACACGAGGGCATTTATCTTATCATTCAGTTATTCCACCTTTGTATGCAAGGCTTGTGTGTGATGGATGTTGTTAAGTAAGTAATGATGGAATTACATGGGTGGACTTAAGACTGGTCTTTGATAAATTATTTGTTAACACACTTTGTTTTGTGGTAATCAGTTAGCAGTGGAAATTGGTTACTTGATGACACAACATTTGTGTAAAAACCTTGAGTATCACATACAACGGGCGTGAAATGTCAACAATTGCGGTTTGATTGTTCAATGTCACTCTTATTGATCTACTTCGCCATCAAAGTTGAAAGAAGTGTGATCTAGACTAAATATGACAAAAGGCTGACTTTTGTGCATGATGGCTTCTTAAAATTTGATTTTCTAACAGAAGTTCCTTTTACAATCTTATTTACAAATATTGTGAAAATATATCAGTTGTTAACACATTCCATTACCTAACCAGAGCTATTGTAGGTAGTTATCCAGTCTTGTTTGTCTGTCTGTCTGTCTGTTTGCCTATCTGTCTCTGTTTTCTCTTTTGCTCTTGACATTGCTAGTCCAAAATAATCTGCCCCAAAATGTCACGGAAAGCATTTTTATTTTAAAACCACTCTTACATTTACCCATTAACATCCATTGTTTATTATTTCATACTAAACGTCAAGAAACATTTCAGTCCACCTAAAACGTCTCCAGCTGGTCCACCAAAAGAGACGAGTTTTTGAAGAATTGTAATAAAGCTATAATAAAAAAATCAACCCTGTGTTTATCAATCCAAAATCCCAAAGAACTTCATGATTTTTTGGGGGGGACCAGTACACGTGACCCCTTTAATCCGATTTTCATTGATTGCTGGTCCAAACTTTCAGATCGCAAGTCCATTCGTCATGGTTTCGTTTAGTGGTTTAACCATATCATGAAATGGTTTTCTCACATGTTGTCTTTCTCTGTGTTTTGTTAACAGCCTAAACCTCGCCATGCTAGTGGCTTCATCCTGTTTGCTAGTGAGCAGAGAGCTGATGTTAAGAAGAACAACCCCAAGATGTCTTTTGGAGAGATCAGCAGACTCATCGGGAGTGATGTAAGGGTTATCATGGAAGTCGTTAGCATTGTCATACTCCAGTGGCATTGCATTGTGGGATCAGGTTGTGATTCTGTTGGGGACTGGGGCTGTTGTCCACATGCCCCAGTTTAATTCACTGTGAACCACTTAAGCCAATTCCTTTCAAATCAACCAGGAGAGTTTTGTATTCTGCTAGATCGAGGAAGACCTTAGAGCTTGATGCAGCTGGTTTGAGGCAAAGTCATTGATTTTGGAAGATTCATGAAGACAAACTCATCAGAACTTCCCAGAGAGCTAGGATGAAAGTTTGAATCTGTATCAAATCAAATCCAATCAGTAACAATGGTAACAGATTAAATTCCTTGAGGCCAGGCAGATCCATCTCAATACTAAAATGTCATTCCGTGCTGTAAATGAGATGTCTTCCTCTTCCAGTGGCGTCACTTACCCTCTACAGACAAGAACCTTTACGAGGAGCGAGCAGCGGCTATCGCAGAGACCAAAGCCATTGAGAAGGCCTCCAAAGAGGCTGCCAACCCACCACCCACCAGCCAGGCCTCAGGCCAGCCTAAAGGGCCAGTTGCAGGGGCTATCAAGGTCTTTGAGTGTGGCTGGGAGGGCTGTGACCATCAGTATGATGACCAGGAGGATCTGTTGAATCACTTGGTGGAGGCTGGAGAGCACCTCAAACCAGTGGGTAAGGGAAATCAGATTGGAAAGATTTGGAATCCTAAGTTTTCCCTCAGGTCAATTTCAAAACATGTTTTGGAGGATTTTGTAGCATTGAGGGAGAGTTAGGGTCAAGCCGGTGTTGATATATAGGATTTATATATTACTCTTGGAAGTTGTGTAAAGAATAGAGGTTAGTTTCCTGTACACTGTAAGATTTCTGAGGATTCAGGAACGAGTCTTTCAAAAAGTGCATGGGGGATAGGGATAATGCAGTTGTTTTTTATTTAAACTTTATTTGCTAAGAAACGTCCTGAAATCTTTTATAAAAATTCAATCTTGCGCAGTGAAGCAATAGCACATTCTTTGTGGGGTTCCAAATTTGGACCTCAAGAAATAAGTCCTCCGATGTGGAAGCAAACTTGTCTTGAAGAAATATTCTGCCAAATAAAAAAATACATCAAAATGTGATTACTGTCATAGAGTTTTTTTTGTGACTGCTAGCTTCCTTTAACAATATTGTGAGGAATTGATGAAATGGATGATGATGTTGTATGCAGGCGAACCTTCGGAGTTAACCTACCCTTGCTGTTGGAAGGGATGTAGCAGATATCGCAAGAATCAGTAAGTGAAAAGACTACTGAGAATACGCAGAGTCATTTGAAGAGTGCCTCAGTCAGTCAATCATTACTCATCCGATGGTTTGGTTTGGAGAATGAGACCATTACAACCAGCATAAGACCACCAGTCTGAATTCAAAACATTGGCCATTCAAATGAACAGCATCAGGGGCATACCCATGCCGTCGTTCACGCAATGTTTCATGTGTCTGGTCTCGTGATGGTTTCAACTGTAATGCTGGAAAGACTCATTTTAGGAGACACCTTGACTTTGATGGCATGTGATGCCATCAAAGTCATGGTGTCTCCTAAAATGAGTCTTTCATCCAGTTTAGAAGGCATGCCTAAGTGTGACTTAGGCATGCCTTCTAAACTGGATGAACAATGCATTTCAGCAAACCACAGCAGCCTACTGGTCGATGATGCACATACTGCTTTTGTGTGGTCATGGTATCGCCCAAGTAATTGCTTCTCGTTTGGATGCTTAGAGAAGTATGGAAGGGATTTCAGACAGGGTAGGTTGAAGCCAGTAGAGGGCTTAACAAGCAGGATGGTGGGATGGGGCACTGAGACAGAATGGGTCATTTTGCATTTTAGTGGTGAACATTCTGATTTTGATTACAAAACCCGTGGCAACCGAGCAACGTCTTTGTCACCATAGCGATGTCATCATATATTTTTATTTTGGACATTAGGCCATTCCCAGCTCTATCCCGTCTGATTAGACATTGCAAAGAAGTTCACATGAAGGCAACAACGGGCAAGTACATCTACCCACAGAATCTCAGCAGGTCGGTATTCATTTATGCAGTCTGTCTCATACATATTCATGATTGTCAAGTACATTCATGTAAAGCTATCTACAGGATGACTTTCAGAACCCTGCAATAACGATTTTGATTTTCTATAAACGTTATTTTCTTTCTCAGGAATTTCTTTTCGCGCTTCGGTCATCATGCACAGGAGGAAGGTCGCTCAGGCACACCAGGTGGGGGAGCTATCATGGGTATTGTCGGGCCGCCCACCCCGGTGGGGATGGCAACCCAACAGCTTACACATTCATCTCATGCGAGCATGTCAGGTAGGTGCATTGTGGATTTGATGTTGCCATGGCTACCAGGTCAAGGTGAAAAGGTCAGAGGTTAGACTTAAAAAAACAAAAGATTTTGCAGTTACGATTCAATTCCGACATTCAAGACTGGTGGGATTAAATTTTGAGGGGGCGTCTAAATCTCAAGTCGGTGAAAATTTTGGTGGTTTTTGAAAGCCCTGCTGTCAGTTTTTGCTTCAGCCGTTAATGAAAGACGGCACTGCAGTCGATGGCTGGATTATGAATGCTGTTCTGTATCATTGCGCTTGCACAATCTCGCAACGTTGCTAGGTGAGTTGGGTCAAACAATTTGCCCTGGAAGGTCAGACAACGCATCCACTGCACCAACGCTACACCTAACCGCAAGCCTGCCACCATGAGATATAACACTTAACCCACTGACCTACCAAAATGTACCCTCTTTTGAGTTGCGTTCTGTTGTATTAACCGTTAACCCTAACACCCACAAGAAAAAAGGCAAACAATGTGTTCCGTATACAGTTATTTTCTACCCCAGTGGCATGTTATTCATGTGTTGATTTTATTGTAGCAGTTACGATTATGGCTGAAAGTGCAAGGCCAAGTGACTTTGACACCCCCCTAAAGAAATTCAATGCCGGAGAGCATTGAAGCTGAAATTTATTTCCACATTTTTTTCCTAATTTGCAGCACAAATGTATGTTATTTATAAATTTGCACAGCGTTGGTGTTCCGTTGAAGGAAGAACTAGCCGTTAGTTTGGAATGAAGTGGTTTCTGCAAAGTTTTGAAAAATTTTTGATACAGGTTTGAAGTGGCTCTACCGTGACCAACACAAAGCTTGCATGTCCGCAGAGCCATGTTGGGTTTTCATTTAAATGATCGTTGGCTAATGTGATGACTGTGATGTGTACAGATGGTCAAAGCTGTCGCACTTTTGAAAGTTTAATAACTGCATAAGAGTTTTTGTTTGTCAGTCATTAACCCTAACCCTCCTCAATCTTTCACCTGTTGGAGGATTGAGGAGGATTAGGGTTAAGGAGGATTCTTGTTCGCATGGTTTAGTGCTAAAGGTGGTTTGAAAAAACAAGATGCACTTGAAGGAATTAAGGTGCAGGAAACATTAACATACAATCAGCCTTAAAATATAGAATATAATTTTAAAAGGCAGAGATTTAGCCTCACCAAACTACAGGGAATTAACATTTTTCATGTGAATCAGGATCAACATTTACTTAGTGATAATATCTTTACAAATGATTAGTTTTCTGTAAAATTAAGGGTCCATTTCTTTGCAAGTTACAAGTATGAAACTCCTCAAGAAAAAAATTTGAAACGCAAGGAAGCCACATTTGTCTGACCTATCCTTGACCTCTTTAGAAGCCTAATCTTTTTCTGTTTTAGTACCAAACTTTTGAACCTCGGCAGAGAAATTCGGTTCACAAAGTGACATTTCAGCTTTTGTGTAAAAATGAGAAATGTTTTGCAGTGTTCTGAGTTTTTGTAGAAGGAGCTTTTTATGGTTGTGTATTTTTCTCACTAAAGGGCATGTTATGGTGTTTGCATAAAATCTGCATAATTAAGCTTGTTTGCTCATGCATATGGAGTGCAAAACATGTCAAAATTTGAAGTGAGTTTGATTTGAATTTGCATGGAAGTTAACTGTTTTTGTTTTTAAAAAATGCTTTATTGTTCTGCTGTAACATTTGGGATGTAAGATATTTTCTTTCCAGAGGGAGCATGATACTTTTTTTTTTAAATTAAATTTCCTTTTTTAAAACCACAAATTGTAGGCCTTTGTTTTTGCACCAGGTTATTTCCTTTTAAAACTAATGCCGTCATTCAGTTATTTGGCTCTAGACTGCTTACTTCAATTTTTAAAAAGTGACGAGATGTGACAGTTTTATATCATCATGGAAACTTTTAGTTTTCCCATTTTGTTCTGTATTTGTTTGTTTTACATTTTAAGAAAATAACAGAATTTAAAAAAAACCCACTATTTGGCAGTTTGCCTTTACTGTGGTGATTTGTCATCTGGAAAGTGGTCCAAGTCATAATATGTTTAAAATCAAGTTTGGAATTCAATCCATACCCTTGTTAAATTTCAGCAGTAGGAGTACAGAGAAATGTACAAATTCATATTGAATTTGTACCATTTTGGTATCTATTGCTACCTAGACACGAATTGTGAATAATTGATTTGTGTGTAATTGCATGCCTTCTCTGCTCCCTGCAAGTACGTTTTTGTGAAGACACCTTGTGCAGTGTCTTGTTCCTGTACTCAATTCTAGTAGCTTTGAACTACACTTTGGTACATGTGTCCGTCTTTTTGGACTGCATGTGTACACAAGCACCTTTCAGACATGACAATGCAAACTAAGTTTACCAAGCAGCAGTGAGTCATTATATGTGATAACTGTGCATACGTACAAGGCTGTCTAGAGCTCTTGCTGGTAGACTGGTCCCTGCCCCTTTGCGCAACTTGTTTTGGCCAAATTGAGAGTGGGGACTAGACACCTTTGTTGAATATTTCCCACATGATCAAATAAAAAACCTCAACAACTTGGCATGCAGCAAGTTTTGCATGGAGTAGATAAGGCATTGTTTTCCTTGACTGTTGGCATGTATGTGTTTTAATTTGCCTGATAACCAATTGTTGGCCTCCTTGTGTGTGTCTGTTCATTTATCCCTACCCTTCCCCCAACCTTCCTCTCCCTGTTCCATCTAGGCATGGCTATGCAGTCGATGCTTGACCCCTACCCCGGCGGTCACATGGTTGGGGTTGGGGGTCATCCTCCCAGCATGCAAGGGATGGTGCCCCCTATGGCCCAGCCTGCCAGTGTGCAGCACGGCATGTACATGAGCATGCAGCCAGCAGGAATGGGGTACCAGTATCCTGGTGCCCAGCACCCTGGTGCCCAACAGCATGTAATGCATGTACAGCCACCAGGTGAGATGTTTAGGCTTGTTTCCAGTCACGCTTTGATTGTCATGATTGTGTCCACATAATTTGACATTTCTCACAAGAAACAATATGCATGTGCTGCTCAGTTTTGTCAGGAGTGACATCACTAACAGTGGCACGAAGCCAAGTCTAGGGATATTGGCCCAGAATCGCATAGCTTGTGGTCAGAAGCTGTCAGCCTGTTTTGTGATACACACATAATGCAAAGAGGCTGAAAGCCTTTGTGTTAAGTGTAATAAAGGCTGGTTGATTTTGGTATAAAGCATTGAATGAAAAGTTGAAAACTGTACAAAATTATACCATTGGCAGACTGATTTATGACAGCTGGAAAGCCACCCAAATGTTTCTCTGTCATGATATTACAGGTGATAAAAATGGAAAATCAAATACCACATTTTTTGGGGGAAGGAAAGGGGCTTGATATTCCTTAAATGTTAAAGCACAAAAGGGTGAATTTATAGAGGAATCAGGAATGCCCTCATCAAAAGAGGGAAGGAACTCTCAACTTATGTGGAAGGATTAACAGAGAGATCCCAAAAGAGAAAGTCATTAAATGTTAACCCATCTTGAATAAACTCGGTTTACCAGACAGTATTCAAACAATGGAGTGTTTCAGCTCATGCAAATGAATTTCTGTGGGAAAATCCCTGAATATTTGTTGACCAGTCAGAAGTGTAGTAAGTTGCTTGGATCAGGTTTTTTTCTTGTTCAGAGAAAATGGATGCATTGTTGGTTTGGTTTGTCATCTTCATATGCCTGCCTGCCTGCTAGACGTTACACTTCATCCTGCTTGTCTTGCCTGTCTTCCTGTTGATTGTTCTGATGTCTGTCCGTTCTTTTACTGATAAAAACCCTGGAGAGAGGGAGTTTGAATCGGTAATGCAGTAGCTCTGTCTCAATGTGCTTGTCATTTCATGTCGCGAGAAAACGTGATCTGTGTTTTGGTAACAGGTGCTGCAGGTCAGGGTCAGATGATGTCACCCAGGGGTCAACAAGGGGTCGCACCCAGCCCTCATGGGGCACCTAGCCCAGCACTGAACCAAGGTACCGGTATCACTAACCACACCTTCAGAATGAACAACTTATGGAAGTTAAGGCCCAGTATTGTGGAGCACTGTTTAATGTTTCCCCTCTGAAATTCTGTGCAAGAGCCAGTGCGGTAGTTGAGTCCATCTCAAGTGCAATATGAGTTACCTGCCCCAAGTCAAAGTGCACCCTCAGTAAGACAGACTGGTACAAAGTTTTCCAACCAGTTTCTTGCATGCGTTCGGTGTGCGCGCAAAGACCATACATGTCAGAATAAATTTGTTGCACATACTTTGCGTGCTATGCGTCAAACGCATGTAAACTTGCACGCCTATGCGGTGAGTTCATACCAAAGGACTGTCAATTTCATTTAAAAACATGCCCTCTTTTGTTCCCTCTCGAAGCAGATAGGATGAACAGTGACAAAAGAATGCTTTTGTAACAGCTCATTTGAATAGATTATGACTTGGCTTAAGACGGGTTGACTTGTGATGGACTTACAGAGACTTGTGTTGAACTTGCAGGGACCTGTAATGGGCTCAGCTACAACACTGGTAAACCTGACCCCTGAAGACTCTAAATGGGCAGGGTTAGAGGGTTCATCAGATGACAGCAGGGGGGGCAATCATTTACTTATCAGATGGTTGCTCTTACCTTGTCATTTCTTAGAGTGCATGACGGCTGCAACATTGTCATCCACGGATCAAACATACGGCAAATGTTCAGTTGTTGTGGATTGTTTGATAGGCATAGGGCAAGGGTTAACATGGTTATTTCCAGACCTGTTGATGTCATTGTTGATTTGTGACAGGAACCATGCCAAGTCAAAGCTCCAGTGTTCAGCAACCTCTGGTACCGCCGCCTCCACTGTTTGTGCCTCCGCCCCCAAGAACTCAACGATTGCTTCACTCTGAGGCGTACATCAGGTACAGCTTGTAATTTGTCTGTCGTTGACAATCGGTGCTCTTTTGTGGAGAGAAAGTACAGTGTTTTGGTTTTTTTTAAGTTTGAGCTGTTGTTTAAAAGTGTGTCATATAATTTGCAATCACAAAGAAATAACTTAGCTAATTTGAAGACATTGTGGCATATAGTAAAGAAAAGGTTGGCAAAATTCCTTGACATTCTCTCTGGTGCATTGATCATTTTCTATCACCATTTTATGCGTGTGGTGTATTGATCATATACTGATATCAGTTTTGATGCATCAATTTTTATTGTAATACCAGTTGTATCTTGTATTAATCACATTCTGACATTGGATTGGGACATTGA